AGTTCCAGCCCATCCAAAAAAAAAAAAAAAAAAAGACAAATAACCGCTGGAAAAAAAAAAAAAAGAAAAATCAAAGTGCCTTTGGGGTATACAGCTGCAACTCAGTTTTTTAACGCGGTGGCCCAATTGGGGCCGGGTATCCAGAAGTAGAATTGGAAGTGCTAGGTCGACCACTGTCAAAAGAAGCGCGCAGGTCATGCTTGGGGGTCATGTCGCCTGGCGCCGCACTGAATGGAAACTTTGTATCAAAACGCACTGGCCAGCCATTGCTGTTGCTGTGGCTATGGGACGTACCAAGGACTGGCAAGTCGTCCTCGGGAAGGTTCACTCCAGAATCATTCCATGGATTGCGGTAGCCACTGTCCCGGGACTCCATGGAAACAAGAGAAGCCTTAGAGGCGTTGCTCGAGGCATGCTTGAAAAACGATCCTGGAGAGGCAGAGTGGTTCTTGCGACCGATGAACGATGAGAACGAGGAGATACTGCCGGGCTTCCGGAGCCGCTCGAAGATCGATCCACGCTCGCTAGTGTCATCGGGGAAATTCGGCCGAGTGGGGGAGTCGGTCACGATCGGAGCAGGAGCGTGCTGCAACAATTTGGAGTCAAAGAAGGGCAATGACTCCTCGAAAGAATCAGATTTGGGTCGGGGAATGGCACCCTTGACCGTGGTGGCATCGAGGCCGTGAGCGACGAGACGCGAGATCAAGAAGTCGATGGCATCTTTCAGACCACCCGCATTGTTCCGGGTGTATCCTAGAACGACGCGATCCTCCGGGGGAGCGATAGACGAGTTTGAACCTTGCTCGGGAGAGGGAGGGGCATCAATACAGGTATCCACCGTCGTGTCCACTTCATATTGTTCTTTCAATTTGGTGGAGACATTCTCACGGAAGTCGGAGGACTTGAAGTAGTCGCGGAGTTCATCTGAACTGTTGAAGAGAAGCTCATGGCTTTCGGGAACCATTCCCAACAGAGCATCGACGGCCTGAGGAACTTGGTACTCAGGCCCAGAGATGGACACGATGTCACTGGCAAGTTCAGTGCTGGGGAACTCGATCTTGCAGTTCCACTTCTTCTCCAGCTCATCGATTTCGGACATACGGGCGAGCAATTCGCGGTGGTACAGACGGTTGATGGCAACTCGCTCAGAGACATACTCAGCGTCAACCTTCTCGACCATGTCCATGATCTCCTGTTTGACAAGGTCCAAGCTCTGGGCATTGCGAGCCGGAGTGCGGCAGATGACGTTGTCAACCTTGATATCATCATCCTCTTTGCCCATACCGCCGCGGTCCATGGCGTTGGAGAATTTGACGAAGACAGAGTACTTCTTCATGATGCGCTGGATGTGCTGGCCGCCAATGCCGATGATTCGCTTGTGGTACTGGTCGGGAACGTGGAAAGAGATCGAAGCAGGCATTTCCTGCTCGACGAGGTCCAGACCGTTCTTGGTGGACTCGTACTGGTTACCACAGACATCGATGTAAAAGTTGTACTCGTTGAATCCATCGAAAATGATTTGGACATTGCCTGCACGGGTCAGTATGGTTTACTTGTACCACAGAGATGGGTGTACTTACTCTGACCCATGATCTTGTTGATCTTGCCATTCTTCTTTCCACTGACAAACTCCTTGTGCTCGTTGGCCAGCTCGATCTTGACGCGCATCTGGTATTGGCTGCGTTTAACGAAGGGAATCTGGTTGATAACCATCATGCCAGCCTTGACCGCATCGTCGGATCCATTGATGGTGAAGGTCAAGTTGTCGAAACTAACCTCTGCTTCCGAGTTGGTACAAATGTCGGACAACATGGTGCGAACATCGGCAGCAGAGGGAGCACGGAAGCCACCCTGAGAGGGATCCGGCATGATGATCCACCAAGACGCACTGTAAAATTGGCCAGCCTAGTAGTCGTTAGTCCCATTTTCCTGACACACCTGGGAAGCTGAAGGATGATATACCAAAGCCATAATCTCCCGAACCGTGCGCTCGACGTGTAAAACCTCTGAGCCCTGAATGCGGACGAGGCCACGCTGACTACCCAGCTGTGGGAACAAGACGTAGGAACCGTTCATCTCCATGACCTTACGGACCTTGTCAAGACGGTCAAGTAGAATGTTGTCAATCTTGTTAGAGTTGACAATGACATCCTTGACATAGATTTTGACGCCCATGACCAACTCTCGCAACTTCTGTTTGGCGCGGGCAATCTGCTCCGGGGCGTCACCAGTAATGTAAACCTCATCCTCAGCGCGACGGTGAGCACCCGGGGGCGTGTATCCAAAGATTCGCGGGAACGGAGGAGGGAAGTAGATGGCGGTGCCGGTGGCTGCTTCGATGAGCTTAATGTTCTTGCGGGTGCGACCGCAGACCAAGGTGTGCATTGTGAGCTCGAGCTTCAGGGCGTCGACGTGGCGTTTGAGCTAGTGGCTTGTTAGCGTGCGACAGGACACCAGGAGAACCATGACATGGTTAGCTTACAATCTGGTCAATCATAATCAACACGCGGGTCTTTGCATGCTCCGCACTCTCCATGTCTCCATAAATTGCGACTCGGAATCGGTGGTCGAGACCATTATCGGAAGCGTAGCCATAAGATGAAACCACGGCGCTGTCGGTATCCCGAACCTTGGGGGTCAACAGGAAGATGTCGGTTCCGGTATAGGCGGCCAAGGTGTCCAAGTGTTCCAGCACACTCGCACGGATTCCTTTGGTCGAACCATCCATGATGAGGTGCATATCCACGTCCACCGTCGCACATCGCTACCAGAATTAGTTACAAATGTCACCGCAAGAAAGAAAGAAAAAAAAAAAAAGAAACATACCAAGAGAATTGGGGTCTCATTGAGAATCTTCGCCCGCATCTTGCGCACCGTCTCTCCCTCACCTGTGATACAGACATTGGTCACAAGACTTTGAGGTCGTCGTTGGAGGGAGGGGACGACTTTCGGCTCCGAGGTGGTGACAGTGGCCTCGATCCGGCCAGCGCTGGACTCCGTGATTTGACGACAGAGTCTCCGCAAGGACTCGACATTACTAACATGGACCGGTAATAGATGAACGGGGGTGCCTTCCGGAGTGCCTTCGGGAAAAGACCAGCGCTGGAGAGCGTTGGGGCTGGCGTGGATCACATCCTCAGCGTCGGGACCGGCCAAAGTGGAGGAAAACGGCACATTCATGGACAGATTGACGGTGGGATCGATACCGGTCGGAGGAGTCATTGGGGGCGCGCCATGGGGCCGGCGGAGAGAGTGGGAGGCCAGATCGGTATGAGGCCTGGACATGCTAAAGGTTGGAGTCATGCGTTCCCAGCCATGACGGGCCTGGCCGGTAAAATTGGAAATCTTGTGCATGGCCAGAACGTTGGATTGGACCGAGTCTCTTACCCCCTTAGATCGAAACAATTTCGATGGGGGAAAGAGATGATGATGGTGATGATGCTATGATGGATGAATGATAGGAGAGGGTTCGACAAAGCGAATGGGAGACAAGACACGGTTTGGCGCGGGGAGGACGACCAGCAACAGCAGCACAGGAGAATCGAAAGAAGAATCAAAGTCGAAACCGGCGAAAAGGGAAAGAGAAAAAAAAGAAAAAAAAAAGGAGAGAAAAGTAACAGTCGAGGGTTCAACAGGGAGAGATTATTGGTGGAAAGTAGTGAGAATGAGAGTGTGGGAGTGTCAGAGCGAGAAGAGAGGAATGAGAGGAGCGCGGCTGAGCAGGAATTGGGGGGATTCCGCGGAATGTCACAGGGCAAGAAAAAAAATAAGGGAATAAAGGGAAGAGAAAAATATAAAAAAAAATTTGGGGGTATAAAAAAGAAATGAAAAAATGAATAAAAAAGAAGAACAGAAAAGAAAAGGTGAAAAATCAGATGAATTTTAGATGCAGAAATGAATCGATAGGAATTATGGGGAGAGAAAGAGAGGAAGAAAAGAGAGAAAACAGGAAAGCGAGAAAGAAAGTGGACGGGAGAGACCGCGTACAATCTTGATAACGATACACCACCACCACCATTCAGTATGTAGTCATTATTGTTCTCTCCTACTACCACTACTACCACTACTGCTATTACTATGTATCTACTCTACAATCCTCTATTAATTCACTGCTATTGTGATCTGGTACGATGAGCCTACAATGATGGTGATGATGATGATGCCGGCGGTCATTCGGAACGAGACAGTTCATTCTACTCCGGACCCGGTCTTCCACAACCTACTCCGTCCACAGTACTCTAGACAGCAGTAGTATCTCTGCTCTACTCTTCTGTACTGGCCTGTATTATCTGAATCCATGAAATCATCCTGAACCCGGTCGGAATGATACTATTCCTGTTCGGGAACGGTTGAAACTATTCCCAACCGGGGTTAAGCGAGTTCTTTACAGACAGCACTCTAGGTGTGCTAGAGTACAAGTACTCCGTACAGCTAGAATACTCTAATGTAGTGCACCGTACAGGTACAGTATTGCATACCGGAATGAATAGACCAATATGAATTCAGGATGATTCAAGCCAAACCGTTTCCATCCATTCCGGCTTGCGTCACAGCGTATCACTGCATTCTTACAGACTGTAAAAGGGGAGCGTGGCTTGCAGCCATTAAAAGTTAGGACTTTGAGTCCGAACTCAATTACTCTCTCATATCATGAACAGAGTGCAAGTAGTATATACTGACTCACGATCGAGATATCACACCCTCGTACTGAACAGGAGTGCCACTCAACCTATTCTGTACAAGTACTGTACACGCTCAATACACATAGACAACCCAATAACATCCCGTTCTCCGCAGCAATCACAACGTCACAACATCCATCCATTCAAAACCCACGGATCGACTCACTACTAGGGTATTACTGGCCTTGCACTGAGTACTGTGACATATCACCCCTACATACATAGCCCTGCCCTGCGCTTACACTTCCGCTTCCGCTGCATGTATGCGCTGTCTGATTGCGACTTGCCACTGTCCTGCGCTGATTCTCCCGACAAAAGTACCGATAGCGCTCACAGGATAAGTGCAGGCTGATCGAGACCGATCGATGAGTTATTCCGCTAATCGATTGGTTATCTGCCTGGGTCTGTGTTGGTAAGGGCAGTCTGTTTGTGTCTTTTACCATGCAGAGCACTGTCAATTCAGTAAAGTGCATTACAAAGTGATGCGTAGAAACCTTCAGTGAACCGATGCTACTGCTAGGCATACTTGTAGTCACTCCTCAACTCAACAAGTCCATCGGAATCGATATCCGGCAAACCTCCGCCCTCTCCACCGCCTCCTCCAATACAAAGTAAACGTCCGGTTGAAAAGCCATCAAATTTTGCATCCTCCAACAACTACTCCGTACCTGTATGGGTACTATACTGGTTAATGCACCAGGTTTGGATCACCGCACGCTAGGCAGATAACGTTATAGAAAGAGTATTCGTCAGCGCTCCCGAGTAATCTCTCAATGTTTCAAAATATATCTCACGATACGGACATGAGGTGACCCAGGTGACCTTGCAAAGGATGAAAACCCATTATGTTTTGGAACTATCCGTGTCAATACGCTGTTTCAATATTATACGTAGTGGTATTTCTGATGCAAGACGTCTATACTAGGGGTATAATGGCTCAAATCATTGCGCAGATTTTCAAATGTCAATATATATCCGCAATTAGAAAAGGAAATCAATACAACTATGTTCATCCCAATGCTGCTTATGTATACATCAAAATGCCCCATCTCAATATCGCGGTGGTGCCCGCTGCACCACGTTTCTTCCTCCTTCCATCATAACCCGCTCCGGTTCTCCTTCGTAGTATCCCTGATCCTCCCGCATAGGCGGAGGCCGAGAGACATATACAGGTCGTTCAACGTACTCCCGCGGCCGCTGCGGATCCTCATCCATGTATACGCTTCCCGGGCGCACACTTGCCACACGGGAGATCACCTCCCGTGGCTCGTCGTATCGTGCCGTCTGAGGTCTAACGCTCGGCACGCGCATCAAACGTTCGCGCGGAAGACCTGGATCATCCATGTATGCCGGACGCCGAGCATACTCGCCCACTTGAACACTGCTACTGCGCGGGAATGGCTCGCCCTCAAGAGGTGTCGCATACGGCCGCCGTTCAGCCGGTGCAGGCCGTGCGTAGTCTGTCACCCGCCGATACGTGCTTGGAGGTGGTGGCATCTCCTGCACGTACTTCCGGCCGCCATATGGATCTTCGATTACTGATGTAGCCCGCATACTGGCTTGACGCACACTGGCTTGACGGACCGGCACATCGTCATCGTAGACGTCGTTCCTGGGGATCCGACCTGCTGAAGAAACATACTGTACGGCAGGTGCCGCTTCGTAGTATTGATTTCCATGCTCATCAACCACAACACGCCGCGGCGGCGCCATAATCCGAGCCGGCACCGGCTCTTCCTCATAGTATGCCTCCCGAAATTGTGGAGATGATGGTGACCCCTCGGCTGGAATAAACCGTCTTGAGTACGCTGGCACCGGCTCATCATAGTACCTGGTCGCTCTCTCCGGCGGAGGCCGTTCCACAACCGCATAAGATGCTGCCCTCACTGCACGGGGACTGGGTTGTTGCTCGACATATTCACGCGCATATTCCGGTTGCCGCGCATTCTGTAAGCTAGCGACCCGTCGCAAATCAGGCTCATCACGCATGGGCCGGCGGCTGCTGAGCCGAGAGGCCGCCCGTGACATAGGGGCTTCGTGGTACGGATCAGCCTCATAAACAGGCTCGCGGATCGGTGGCTCCCTTCGTTCAACAACCGGAGTATAACGCGGGGAGGCGATGTCGATGTACACTGGTTGGGCAGGTCGGCCTTGGTAAGCTGGCAGCGCGTCTGCAAAAGGTGGCGGTGACACTGGCTCCTCTTTAATATATGGATCAGAAGTATCAACAGCAGCAGGCTTTTTATTGTACGGAACCTGACGGGCTCGACCTTTGTCCTCTTGCAATCTCCTACGCTTCCTCGGTATTGGATGCTGAGCAGCCGGGGCATCGGGACTGGCACGGTCTAGACCCTGTGTAGGGTGAACCCGTTCCGCCTCATATCTCGTTCGTATGTCCTTAGCCTGAGGGGCGGAGGGAACCTTGGCCACGGCTAGCGGAGACACCCTAGATGGCTGAGGAGCGGCAGGCGAGGTTATATGGTTTCTCACGACTCTCACGTCGTCTCTTGGGGACATCGTATTGTAATACCCTCCTGCACCTGCTCGATTGTCTACCCGTCGTCTTGCATCATGGGTGATATATTCCGGTTGATACTCACGAACTTCTGCCCTGTCCATAGGTGGTACACCTGGAGCTGGAGGGGAGTAATCCGGCTCTTCCATCGCATCATCTGCCTGCGGAAGTTGGTGGTATTTATTGCCTGTCAGGTCTACCGGAGCGTCATGGGGTTGCCTGTGACGGTAAGGATCGCGCTTGTCTGCCACAGGGTAAGCATCTCGCATTTCCTGATCCAATCCAGTGCGGTTGAGGGCTTCAAGCCGTTGCAACTCATCTGAATAGTTTTCTACTGGGATCTTGGTAGGAAGGTCCCCGGTGTGAGGTGCTGTTGCTGCCGAAGACGGCTCGCCTTGCTGCGGAGAGTCAGGGGCTCTACTGGAGTAGAAAGAATTCTCGTCAAACGAATCACTGGGTGCCCCAACGACATTGCTTGCAGAGATATCATTTACAGAAGCAGGTTTGACCAACTCAAGGGCTTGGTTCAGCACACCAGACACATCAAAGTCGGGCTTTGCGTCCTGCACCGCCGCTTTCTGTCTCGACTCTAGCCTCTTCTGCTCCAACTGGTCCCGCAATACTCTTTCCACCCTTTGTCTTTGTAACTGTAATTCTGCCCTGACTAAATCATCTGATTTAGTCAAAAATATCGGATCAATCTCTGAGGTAGATTTTGGGACGGTACGGTTCTTCGAAGGGGTCGTGGTGATCACATCAGAGGTACCGTCAACAGTCGTAGAAGCTGGAGCTGCTGACGGAGTAGCCTGGGATGATCTCTCCGTAGGAGAACCACCCAGACCACCTGTCTTCACTACCTGAGCCTGTATGCTAGAAGGATAGGCAGGGTTTCGAGACGTAGTTTTGCGCACAAATTGATGGGGGACCTTAAGCTTGGGGTGAGTTCCAGAAAAGATCTCGTCACTAATTCTCAGAATCTTCTCATATTCCTGCACTTCCTCGCCTGTAGGCAAGCCAGTAGTACTGGCTCGAATCTGTGTCACTCCATGAGCTGCCATAGTGAAGGATATACTTTTTTCCACTAGGGAATTATCTGGACGAGTGAAGGAGTGCTGCCCGTAGGAAGTCCGCTCCGGGAAGAAACCAATCTCTGCTGCCACAGCGAGCCAAGTGTCAATTCACTTCCAGTCCACTGGTTCCAATCTCTGGGTTGACAGAGAAGGGAGGAACGACTGATCGGAGACGGTAGTTGCAAAGCTAGTGCGTGTGTTGGTGTCGAGTGAATGGGAAGCTCTCCCTCTCCTCATTCTGTCTCCAGGAAATCTCCGGAAGTGACGCTAAACCCGTTGCGGAAAGACCGCGGGCGCGCCAATAAGATGCCGCGGCGCATACCCGCGGACAAGACAGGCCGGTTCAATGGTTTGGAGAGGAATGATATTGTTATTTTGTATTTTCTGCAACTGACCCCTACTCTGGTGTCATTTTGTATGTATCGCGCTTCTTGCCTTCGTCCTGCACCGCAAGTCTTTTCTAGTTTCTTCACCTCTTTCTGCCGTGCTCCATACGTTGGCCTTAATCGGGGGATGATGACATTGTCAAACTGTCCCGCGGGTGCGGTTGACTCACGGCCAGTGTTCTTTTTCGACATCGATAATTGTGTAAGTATTCAGGAGAAAATATTGCTATAGAAGCTGGATTGTACTAATTTTGGTCTTTGCGACGCAGCTTTATTCCAAAGGTCCGGGAGTCCGCCACTGAGCAAGACAATACGACGACTGACCGAATCGTGCACAGCATGCAACATCCACGAGGAAATGGAGAAACTTATCAGTCAGTTTACAATGTGCATAAATATCGGGCTTTGTTTCTAATGGGATCGCCTTTTCAGACAAGTTCTTCGTCAAGCACCTGTCCCTCGAACCGCAAGATGCCCAAATGCTTCACCGGAAATACTACACAGAATACGGTCTCGCCATTGAAGGTCTCACGCGTCATCACAAGATTGATCCTCTCGAGTTCAACCGCGAAGTTGACGACGCGTTGCCATTAGATGATATTCTGAAACCAGCTCCGCAGCTGCGAAAGATGCTCGAGGATATCGACCGGAGCAAAGTGAGGCTATGGCTTCTCACCAACGCATACGTCAACCATGCCAAACGGGTCGTCAAATTACTACAAGTGGATGATCTTTTCGAAGGAGTGACATACTGTGATTACAGCAAAATGCCATTAATTTGCAAGCCAAGCCAGGATATGTACGAGAAGGCAGAGATCGAAGCGGGCGTTCCGAGTTCGGCACAGTGCTACTTTGTCGGTACGTTCTTTGTGATTCTCTCTTTCTATATAGACTAGAACTGACATGCGATAGATGACTCCCACTTAAACTGCAAACATGCTGAGGCTCGCGGTTGGAATACCGTCCATTTGGTCGAGCCTGGTCTGCCGATACCACGGATTCCGGCATGCAAATACATGGTGCATAATCTCGACCATCTGCGCGTCCACTTCCCTCAGCTATTCAAGCAGACCGATGGCACCCAGACCGGGTAGTCTCTGCCTATAGAATGCACACTGTAGACTTTTTGTCAAATAGAATATACGATGCGACTGCATAAACGTTACTGATCACTTGTTATATATATATACATACATACATACATACATACATATATATATATGTTCCTGCCCTTTTCTACTATGTATTTCTTTTCCTGTTGCTGATAGAGACGGATGTTCTACATTCTGGTTCGCTTGTTGCCGTATCCAAAATGCTCAGTCATTACGGGAGAAGCACAAAAGTGCTCGGTGTTGAGAAGATATATGAAGTAGTCACCTATAGGATGTGAATTCATTAATTATGGGAGTTGGCTATCTCATTGCAGCCATTTTGCTGGTGTACATTCACGCCTCAGGCACAAAGGCACCGACAACGTACCGCGTTCTTGGTGGAAACTAACCTCCGGATCAACAACACAACATCAACGTTCCTTTCGTCACCTCAACCGCCAGAATTGAGGTTTCTATGTCTGCTCCAGGAAGATAACTTCTTTCTGGATGCTTCACAATGGGTGACATATCTCCCGGTTCCGTGGTCCTACTGCCGGACGGCAAGAGAGCTACTGTTCGGTACGTTGGTAACACCAGATTCGCCGCAGGGGACTGGATTGGCCTCGAACTAGAAGAGCCGGCGGGGAAGAACGATGGATCGGTCAGGGGAGAACGGTATTTTGATTGCGAACAAGACTATGGAGTGTTCGTCCGTTCTTCTGTTACTTTGACTCTCGTTGAGCGTCCAGCCAAGCCCGCTCCTAAGGGGAACACCGGTAATGCACCGCCGACGAGCAGGGCAAGGGCGCAAACTGGAGCGGGAATCAAGAAGCCAGGCGTAAGTGCTTTGCCCTCTGCAAATGCGAAGAGACACAGCGTTAGCACGGCCAATCCCTCGTCTGCTGCGAAAGCCGCTGCCCAACGGCCAGGCTTGAGGGTACGTTGAAATAAATTGGATTGTTTGAAACACATTGCATTCCCAACAGCTGACGGATTACCTTGTGCAGTCTCCACTGAAATCGCCCACGAAGCAGCCGTCCTCTCGTAACCTGTCAATCGACGAGACCTCACGCCCACCGGCCACTAGATCCCGGCCATCAAGTACTACCAAGGCCTCCATGGGTCCTCCGCCGGCTCCCTCCGCTGCCTCACGTACACCGCGACCATCGATATCGGGTCCAACGCACAGGACGAGACAAAGCCTGGGTTCGACAGGTGCGGCGCTTTCCAAGCGCCCCTCCCTGCGCCACCTTGCCTCCAATAATTCCTCAGCTGCGGAAACGGAAAGTGGACAATCGGACGTCGTGATCGATTCTGCTGGAGCTGATGGAGATGATCCGGATGATGGGAATTCCGCACCAAGAGCGCCTCCGGGCTCGTCGCGGATGTCAATTGCTACTGCTCGGCCACGGTTATCACAATCATCGACACCGAAGCCGCCACAAAACAGCACGGTTACGAGAGAACTGGATGAATTGAGAACAAAGTTGAAAGTAATGGAGAAGAAGCGAGGCGACGATCGAGAGAAGCTCAAGATGCTCGAACAATTACAATCAGAGCGCGACAAGTTCGAGGGAATTATCCAGAAATTACAGGCCAAATACCAACCGCAACAGGTTGAGCTAGGTGAATTGCGAAAGCAACTGAAAGAGTCGCAAGCGAGACTGGAAGAGATTGAGCAGATTCAGGGAGAGCATGATAGTGTCGTTGAGATGGCTACCCTCGACCGCGAAATGGCAGAAGAAACGGCTGATGCCTACAAACATGAATGCGATGTGCTGAGAGGCAAACTCGAAGAGCTTCAATTGGAGGTTGATGTCCTAAGAGACGAAAACGAAGAATTCGACCAGGGCATGAGCCCCGAGGAAAAGTCTACTCAAGGCTGGCTGCAAATGGTAAAGACCAATGAGCGTCTCCGTGAAGCCTTGATACGCCTGCGTGATGTGACTCAGCAACAGGAGATGGACCTGAAGGACCACATTAGAGAAATGGAGGAGGATTTAGAAGACTATGCCGCGATCAAGTCTCAATATGAAACTACAAAGGAGAAGTTGTTGGCTTCTGAGAACAATTTCGAGGACCTCAAACAACAATTGGAGACCGCTCTCGGTGCCGAAGAGATGATCGAAGAGCTTGCAGACAAGAACATGCGCTACCAGGAGGAAATAAATGAACTACACGCGGCTATTGAAGATCTCGAAGCTTTGAAGGAGATCAACGATGAGCTCGAGTACAACCATGTTGAAACGGAAAAGCAGCTGCAGGAAGAGATTGACTTCAAGGATGGTTTGTTCAATGAACAATATCGCAAGATCACACAGCAAGATGAAGTGATCGAGGATTTGGAATACACTCTGGTCAGATTCCGAGAGCTGGTTTCGACCCTACAAGGGGACCTCGAAGATATGCGAGCCTCTCAGCAGATCACGGAGGCTGAAGCTACCGACCTTACATCTCGATCTCGCGCCATGATTGATCTCAACATGAAGCTCCAGGCATCAGCATCCAAGGCCCAGACGAAAACGATTGACGTCGAAACTGGTCGAATGGAAGCTGAGGAAGCTGCACTACATCTGTCCATTGTGAAGTTATATCTTCCTGAATACTACGATGGGGAGCGAAATTCTGTCATGGCGCTTCTACGCTTCAAGCGTGTTAGCTTCAAGGCATCGTTGGTAAACAGCACCATTCGCGAAAGGAATGCCGACCAGTCGTCAACATCTCCGTCTCATGAAGACTTCTTCACAGCCCACGATGTGCTAGAAAAGCTCCTTTGGATATCTTCTCTCTGTGACCGCTTCACAAGTTACATCGAGAGCTCTTCCGCCGAGAGTTTCAGTGGTATCAAGAGGGCGTTGTTTGAGATGGAGCCAGTGGAACGCACGTTGAACTTTTGGCTTGAGAGTCTGAAAAAGAATGAGATCAATATGAGCAAATGTGCGGTGGAACTACAGAGATCCATTGCTCTTTTGGCGCATCTCGCAGAAACCATGCTCCCAACGTCGCTGGAAGCGTCTGCTGGTGAACTTTCCATGCGTGCCCATTTGACTCAATCATACCTCGACCACTCTGCGTCATGTCTCTCGCGGCTCCGATCTGTGCTGCAGTCTAAGATTTCCGTTCCGGAGGGAGGCAACGAGGAGATCTCTCTACTTTTTAATAAGATGGAGGGGCTTTCATCTCAGGCCCGTGGATCTAAGGTAGCCATGGGGAAGATTTACCGTGCGGTTTCTGACTTGCAAGCAAGATCGCTTGCTCTTCCTAGTGATGCAGCGGAGCCCTTCAAGAAGGTCGAGGATTCTGGCAAAGACCTCTCGTTGCTATCCCGACAACTAGGAGAGAACATCCTGGCACTTATCCACGACGAAGCGCGCACGGAGCCACTCAGCCTGATAGAAACCCTAGACAGCCTGTCTCAAACTTCGTTATCCTTCGACCAAACCTCAGAACCGAAGAGCGGGAACAATGATGCCATGTCCTTGATTGGCACCAAGCTGCGTGGCATTACTGAATCCCTGGAGGAGCTCGACTCAATTTCATCCAACCTATCCCTCACAACTGAGTTTGAAAAGCGTCCCGCACCATGGATCGCAAGATCCGAAGAGCTAAAATCCAACAAAGCCATCTCCCCAGACGCAGACGATAAAATCAGCCAACTGAAGAGCGAAATCCAAGAAGCCTCAACAGCCCTAGGCGTCAAAGACAAAACCATCGAAGAACAAGCCATCAAAGTCGAACTCGTCGAGTCCCGAATGCGCGAAGCAAGCAAAAAAGCCTCAATGGTCAAAGAACTCGAAGCCAAGATCGAAGCACTCCAAGCCCAACACACAGACCTCACCGACACAGTCGAGAAACAGCGCAAAGACCTCGAAGCCACAGAAGCAGAGCGCGAAGAGCTCAAATCCCGCCTCGAAAGAGTCAAACACGCCTCCGGAACAACGGGCGTCACAACAACAGCCGATGGCGTCGTCGTCGACGGCAGCGGCGCCTCCCTGGCCACAATACACGAGAATGAAGCCCTCCGTGCCGAAGTTAAGAGCCTCCAAGCAGCAGTCCGCTTTTTGCGCGAAGAAAACCGCCGCGCAAACATGCTCGATCCCTTCTCCATCCAGCGCGCCGCCGACATGCACTCCTGGCTTGACGTCCCGCTCACCCAATCCGCAAACAACAGCACCAACGGCCAGCGCGAAAAGACCCAGCAAACCGCAGCAGAAAGCAGAGATGCCTTCGTGCACCTCCTCAAACTCGCCAAGGACTCGCATGTCAGCGATCTCAAGTCATCCATGGCCTACCACGCTGAAGGCGAGAGTCGTACGGCATGGCGCCCCTCCAAGACTAAACTGCGCTACCAAGTCCTGCAACAACGCGAAAACTACGAGCGCTGGGCCGAATGGCGCGACGATATCGTCTCCCACGAGAAAGAACAGGACAGACTTGCTCTCGCAAAAAAGGAGCGTCTGCTTCGCGAACAGGCTAGAAAACACCATATGTCGAGGAAAGATTCTATGGCTGCCGGGGAGTTTGGGATGATGGGACAGGCGTGGAGAATACTGGGGATGCAGCATCAGCATCAGCAGCAAGGGCAGAGGGATGAGAAGAAATCGCCGATTAGTCGATTGGTTGAGCCGGCTATTGCGCCGTTTTCTTAGATTTTTTATTTTATTTGTTGTTGTCGGGGATGTGTTGTCTGGGTCGTACATATGGTTTGTGATATATTAGGTGATTTGTAGTCGGGGACTGTTTATATTTCGTATTTTATACCCCCATTTGTTTGTTCAAAGTGATTACAATTCCAATGCTCATGTTGCCGAAGCGTGCACAGAATTATTGTAGTTAATATTAGTAGGTCCTAAGACTAACTTATGTATGTACTGTCTAAACTTCAGAACTGCAAATCTAATATCGTCCACTATGATCATGAGAAACATGCTATGCTGTAAACACAAGAATAATGTACAACTGCAGGCTTGTAATAAAAACAGAACGCCCCGAACGAAAGAGATCTGAAAAGTGATAAACAGATGAGGAAATGCAACATTATTAGGGATTTAAGAGTAGATTAGATGACTAAATCATCAAAGGGCACCCGATAGAACCGCTTCGGTGGCTGCAAAACAAGTTAGCATGTTGCCATGAACAAGAAGTGAAATTGGATGACTTACCAGAATTGATATAGGACCTCTTGATATCCAAATTCACCCCGAACCGCCTCTCGAGCTCTACCTTAACACTTTTCTTCGTAACAGACATCAAATCCGCTGTTCTCAGAATCTCCCGAATCTCCGCAAGCAGCGTATCGTCACTCGGCAAATTCGACAGATCCTCCAACTCCATGTCCATATGTCGACTGAGCATCTCTGACGGCGGACGCGAGATACTCCGGGCGCCATACTGGTGCGACAGGTCAAGCTGGGACATAGGTCTCGAGCCAGGGAACCCTCCGAATCCGTAATCTGACTGTGCCGGGTGGTAAGATTTGGTGCCGTATGAGATACCAGAGACCTCGGAGCGGTCGTCGCGGGAAGTCTGCGCTTCCCAGAGTTCGGCTTGGTACTCTTCCCATTTCTTCTTAGGGATGGTGTCTGGGTCGAATTTGCCTTCGTCGGAGATGACGACTTGTCTGCCGCTTTCACCTGTGATGACACGGGTGTTACCCCAGGAGAAGTCGTCCATGTGCCAAAATGAGTAGAGAGGAAGGGCGAGGGAGAAGACGGGGATGGCGATGATGTAGATGATCATCCAACCGATCATTTCCCACTTGCGGCGGAAGATGAAGATGAGGGCTTGCAGACCGTAGATGGCTGCGAGGAGGATGAAGGATGTGTATGGAATGACGGATGTGTCTCTCACGAGCCAGACGATGAGATAAATGATGTAGGCGACTGTCACCGGCTGAATGATGGTACTGAGTAGGTCGACGAAGACAATGAATCTCATACTAAAGCAGCAGAAACCACACAATTGCTGAAGCGGAATAAGTTCAATCAAGTTATGCACTGTAGAGTTGATCCATCGTCGGCGCTGGGATAAGAAAACAGCAAAGCTCTCTGGGGCGATAGTCCAAGCCTTTGCCGCGAACAGGAACTTGGTCTTAAACTTGTCATGATGCTTCAAGAGCAGGGTCGTCAAATAACGGTCTTCACCCAGGTGCAGCAGATTCTTCATGTGCAGTGTATCGACTCGAATTTGCGAGTACGCTTCCACGACTTCTTTGCTCACAAAAAGTGGCTTGCCCGACTCTGCAGACCGGATACGAAACATAGTGAAACATCCCGGTAAGCAGGTCACTGATCCGAAAAGACTTTCAAAGGCCTTTATCATGTTATGCGAAATGAAATACTCGTAGACCTGGATCATAGTCACCGCAGACGTCTTTGCATTCGTCAGGCCTGTCTCTCCACAGACAGCGAGTATGCGAGTGTCCGCCAGGAAAGAAGCAACCATTCGTGTTCCGGCATCATGAGCAACCACCGTATCTGCATCGACTTGCAAGATGAACTCATAGAATGTAGGATTGACGCCGATGATGTTGCGTATTTGGTGATACATTTCAAGTTCCATAGGGCTCATGGGCAAGTTGTAGTGGATACGATTCAAGAACCGCATGAGAACCATCTGAGAATCACGCTTGCCTCTGTTACCGGGCCGTGAAACCTCCGACGGCTTTCCAACCTTGACCACAACCAGGAAAGGAACGATGTGACCTTGCACCTCATATAGACCGGAATAAATCTTTCCCATATTATGTTGCTTCATGCCTTCTCCCAGGCTGTCAAAGCTGAGAGGTTCCGGATCCACGGTTTCTGGAACACCCATAATGTCCAAAACAATCCTAGGCGTGGGGCGGTCATTTCCTTGTCCGATAATCATGCCATCGCAAATGACCAGCAGGAGCTTGCGCTTGTCATCGTACCGCATACGTGCCATGGAATCAATAGCACGGCGAAGAGACTCCTCGTCTTCTGTATAGGCCGGAACTTGACAGATGATGAACTTGTCGATGTTCTCGGGAACTGTCTTTTTTCCAAACTGCATCGCGGCCACAAATTTGAACACGAGGATTGCGCAAATGATGATGGAGATAGACAGAATGAAGTAGCGTGCAAACTGGCAGCGAGGCGAGTTTCGAGTATCGACATGGCCGACAAAGAACAGATTATCAAGGCACAATTGCATACGATCACGCAGTCCCTGATCAATGGCAAGGTTCTGCCAGTATTTGGTGATGTCCTGACCAGATTTCTGTCGGAAGAGGTCTACCAGCAGGGAGTCCATAAAATCAGTATCGACATTCTGCGGAACTTCCTCTCCTTCTGGAGCTTGCGTCCTTCGACCTCCAGCAAGGTAGGTGGTCATGTCATAGACCTTCCCATCGATGCTTGCAATTGATTGCGATTTATCCCCCAGTTTCGTCAAATACTCTGGTGTGTAGCCGATGAAGCCTTTTTTGTAATTCGCCCGAAGCATTATCATCTGTTCGTAAAACCAGTCAGGACGGTAGTCGTTGGTGTAGTAGCGGAAATCGTGATATTTAGAGTTGGCATCCGTGTCACTAGATGCGGTTGCGGTCCCAGAAACGTTCGTGGATTTGTAGTCCAATAGCACTGTGGGATCAACATGACCATCCTTGCCTTGACAGAGAGCCGAAACTTGAATGGGGAAGAGATTGGTGGCATCCACACCGGCATACTTCTTTAGCGAAGACTGCGGGACAATGTCGGGGTAATGAGATGGCATGAAAGCACCCAGATCGAAGACCACGCCCCGAATGGACATGAAAGAATTGTGACCATCCTTGCCGTTATGCGTACTCAACTCCCCTGCGGAGTAGACATGCTGCGTGGGACAGACTAGACCAGGAAAAGCGACGATGAAGAAAATGGCACATGCGCAACTGAACCAGATAATCAGATTGATCGCGAGCTTCTCTCGCCAAGCTAGTCGGATATCCTTGCGTTTCATCCGCCCGAGCCACTTGATAGCAACGTCGGGAATGTAGAAAGTAAGCAGATACACCAATGCTAACCAGCGTCTACGACTACCGGAAAGAGGCACATCGTCTACTTCTTCCATTTTCTTTTCGTTGCCTTTCTCCAGCATCTGCTCTCTCGTCTCGAGATTGTGGAACATGTCACCGGAGTTGAAGGCAGAACCCCCGGCATCAGAGCGTCCATCCACGTCGCGGGCGCCAAAGTATCCCTGCTTGTTTTCATCGCCATAAGGGGACCGATCGGGCGAATCGAGGAGCCGGACCTTGGAATCCATATACGCAGCTGTTCGTGGATGTAGGAAGCCCTCGCCAACATCTTCAGAACCCCTGCCATGATAGACAGGGACCACACGCTCGCCTACCTTTGCGAGGTCAGCCCAGCATCGTTCACTCAGGAAGACACCGGTACTACCAACTCTGGCTTCGTTGCCTGCCCACCGCTTCTCATCCAACACGATTTCACACCTTTCCCTATCGCTTCCAACAACGACATTACCAACCTCCGCCAGCCCAAGGAACTCAGCAAAGGGGAGAAACACACTAAAGTCAGCATTGCGAAGCCGTTGACTGATTTCCGCAATGCCAAAAGTCTGCACCTGTGCTCGGACACATTTGCTGTCAAACTGATTCGCAATGCGGCGATCATTGGGCTTCAAACAAAAGACAAAATAAGGGTTGAGATCGGGTGTGCTCAAGCTCTTCCTAACGATCTCAAGCGAAGACAGGAACTGACCAGCTGCGCCTTGAGGACTGTTTGTCATCAGACCAGTCTTGCGTCTTCCAGAAACGTACCCCGTTGAACTGCCATCAGGGCTCTCATGATCGTCTGCATCATCCGCATCGAATGGATGCGCAACAGGCGGATCAGCCTTTCGCCTTGCGACACTGGGCATTCGTAACGGTTTCGCGCTGACCTGCGCCTGCATAATGGCCGTTTTCTCTCTTGGATGGGTGACCGTCTGCAGCGTTTCTTGCCCAAAAAGATCCCGTACGAAATCACTTCTTGTAGACTTCACGAGATTCATCAAATCACCAGAAATGGCTTCACCATTTTCCTCAACCAGACCGTTCACAGAGTAATCGACTTCACCAGCAAAATGTCGTATTGTGAATGCCGAACGCGCTTCTGGTGAGACATGACGAGTACCAGGTCCGGCTCCTGCTGTTCTGACCATGATGGCAGGATTCTTGTTTTCAAAACGCCTCTTCAGAGTTTCAGCGAGCTGTGTGTCGGTCCGGCCGCGCTTGGTCTGGTCATCAAGGATACTCAACAGGCCGTTGCCATTCTTCAACAAGCCGCGCACCGCATCGGAGTTGTCGAAATAGCTGATGGCTGGCACGGAGACTTCTTCACGTTCCAGAATGTCGGCCTTTCTGTCGAAGAAAGACTGGAGGCAGAAATTGTAAAGCGATTCGGTCGCTGCATTGTTCAGGAACTGGTCCAAGGTGGATCCAGTTGCAGAGGCCTGAGAGAAACCTGGGAAATCGACGATAGACACAGTGTTGGCAACACTGTCATCCGCCGCGCAAATTCTCTGGTTAATAGTTTCAATCACATAAGTCACTAAAAGAGTATAGATTGTTCGAGCAAGCTCGTCCGCGTTACGTCGTGCTCCTCTGGGATCCAGCATCACCGTCACCCTCTCTCGACTGATGGTCTTTGTTCGGCATCCCAGACTGGCTTCGAGGTCGTCGACTCCCAGACCGAGGAAGGCGGCCACAATGGAAAGGACATCCTTATTCTTGACAGAGGTAATTGTCTCACCACCTTCAAGCGCGTATCCTCCACTTTCTTCTGCAGAAGTAGCGGTAGACTGGCCGCTAACAAACTCCAGCTGTCCGATATGTAGCACAGTTGCAAGAATCTGGCAGATTTCGGCAATCTCACTTCTAGGGAATTCCAATTTCCGAAGCGCTGTTTTGAAATGGTAGAACGCATCAGCGTCGTTGATACCGACCTTTAGCTGTGTGGGATGACCCAGATATCTCCATCGTTTATGATTCACTGTGCTCGAACCGAGCATTCCACTGTTGGTAGAGATATGGATAGGATTATCAAAGCCCAAGTGAGCCTTTTCCTGAGCACTTGTTCCTGCCAGAATATAATAGAGGGAATGGAAGCTCCGCTCCCCGGTTGGTACAGAAGCAATCCGGTTGCGTTCGAGTCTGTGATCGATGATCTTGCCGCCAATCAGCGTCGGATTAACCGAGGAAGAGGCATCGTACTGCAGTTCCAAGAACAGTCCCGCTTTCGATGCTGTCTGAGTGGTCAAGGATTTTGTGGTCGTCAAAGCGTCAAAAACAAAGGTAGCGTAGGAGAGCTTCGACGAGAGAGGTGTGGATGAGTAGGAAAGAAACGATGATAGAATATGCGAGCGAATAGTCGTTTTTCCAGATCCATTCTCTCCACTACAAGGATGTCATAAAACCGTTAGTGTTGTTTGACAATGCGGTTTACTACCAGCCAGGCACTTACAGAAACACAATAGCCTGGTTTTCACCACGAGTAGCCAATCTAGTGAATGCGCGTTTGGCCAGATCCTCGGCCTCTGCCATCGAACTTCCCTCTTTGCCTCCATCTGGACCTTTGGTCGGAGTTGTGTATGTATTGAGGCATATTAACGCTTGGGAAGAGAGACGAGCCGTTGGTAAACCGACATGGAACCTGTAGACAAGTTTTATCGTTAGTACGCGAATGGATTATCTCTCCTTGTTCGGTTCGAGGACAACCGTACCGGCTCGCGATATGCGCAGTCAAATGCGTATCCGATTGTAGATGGGCTGGCAACGATGGTAGCGATGATTGGGCATGAGATGGAATATGTCCTGAGGCCATATTGTCCAGTGTTCCTCCCCCCGGTATGTGAGATTGTCACTGATAACAGATAGCGGCCCTATCTGAGTGAAGTGGCGGATATTCCGAGAATCAGGAATGTTGAATTGAAAAGGCCAACATCAGCATAGGACAAGCCACATTGTTTGTTCAGCAATATAGGCCAAAAGAAGCGATGGTAACGACGGAAGATGCACAGTAGCAATTGCAGGCGATAACTCTGGTGTGACAGGTCGAGTAAGAGAGAACAGAGTTGTTTAGAGTTGAAGCGAACGGCACGGCGTATCTGTCTAAGGATGAAACGAAGCGAGAACCGACAATGATAGACTAGAGTCAGGGAGAAGAGAAAGAATGAAAGAGACGAAGAGAACAAGAACAAAACAGAGACAGTAGTCAGTATCACTAGTACTGAAATTCTACAAATACCACAATCGGCGTTAACCGTCCGGGGTTAACCTCACCGCCCGCCGATGATACATTTCGATACGTTTATTGTTACTAGTTCAATACACCTGATAGGCTGTGACAGCTGGTCTGTTTACCACTAAGCTTGATTAGGGTTGGAATGGGCGGAGATAGAAGATTCTCGGCCGGTCATACAGGTATCACACTAGTAATATGGTGTATCTCGTAGAATTTTTCTACATCAAACATCAATAGATGAATGATAGTTATTATGTAGAGTATATAGTATGGGCAGACCGCATTCCAAGAGGCTGTATAGAGTTCAATCAAAGAGTCAATCCTTTAGCTCTGTGCAGGTGAGTTGTAGGACATTCCCGAAAAGAATTGACTGATACTGGTGGAGATACGCCGGACCCTGAAACTTGCAGTGAGTGGATCGTCTGATCTGCCCGGATAAGACCCCAACGGCAGTGCTGTACGGAGTACGGTTCGTGGTTGGATAAAAATAATCATCATATTATCTGTGGCATGACTATGCAATTTATACAAGATATTAATTAACATATAAGATAAAGCTGGTGATATCTACTAAGAACACCCAGATCAGGGATAAAAATAAACAAAGACGGCAGCATCTGAAACTACACACCACCCTGCATGACTCTGCAGGTCATCGAACAAGGATTCTATATTTATATACTTGGATACGGGAAGTGTAAGAACAGGGTCAGTTCTCATACCTTCCTTGTAAAGTTTGCGCTGTGGTGAGAACCAAAAAAATGGCAAATGGCAAATGATGGGTGGTGAGACAAAAAGGTAAGACAATGTGCCAAATATAGGGTCTCCAGCTTGCGGAACTGACCGTTAATTATGCTCTGATTGGCCGTTCTACGTGCTTGATCCTCGGTTCAAAGTCAATCCACACTATTTCCATTTTGGGAAGGCACACCAAATTGATCTCCGTACTGTCATCTTCAGCATTTACACAAAACACAAAATACAAATACTCTTCCTGCCACCACAACATAATGAGCGGATACTCTTAGGTACCCTATGCTGACTATATAGAATAGCTCTACACGAGTACAACTTACGTGCAAATAGGAAAGAGAAGAAATAACCGGTCAAAAAGAAGGATGCAATGGAGTTGTTTAGATTGACTAGCGTATTGCTAGTGTATCAGCCAGTTCTCTAGTGACGGCCATAATTGGCATATGACAGAGCCCTAGTCCTGTTTGGGTGCATGTTTTGTAATACAATGCATTACTAGCTGTATTCTTCGGTCTTTTTCTGCGGTCTTCCACCAGCCAATCAACGTTGCGCATTCACTGACCTCAAACAGGTCCATTACAACCACCCGCCGCGCTCTGCATCACCGTCTGCTCCAGCTCTTTGCTTCTTTCTTTCTTTCTTTCTCTCTCTCTCTTCATTCTTCTTCTCTTCTCTCACATATCGACCTTTTCTTCAGGCTTGTCAAGGCCAGTCGTGTGGTTGTCATTTGGACTGCAACGGTTGTTGTATGTATACTCGTCCCGTCAACCCTCTTATCTCTAGCTGTCCCCTGCTAATTTGCTCTCCAGGGTACACAACGCTTCACTCTTTAACCAGAACAGATTTCTCGTTTTCGGTCATTCGCTTCATCCTGTTCATCAAGATCATACCTTGTTTCATCTATTATTTCGAGTTCATCGATTACATCGCCAATATCGTCCCCAGAAACATAACTCCGCTGTGATCGCACCCTCATGTTCCGACATACTATTTGAAACAACCGCAATACGTGCTCTGCATGTTGGCTTGGGATAGTCGTTGAGTTTCCAGTGTAACTTCCTTTCGACTACACCATGTCCAACCGATTCTCCGTCTATTCCAGCACTTCTGCTGGTTTTCCTACTGGTTCTCCACGTCCACGGCAAAACATGCAAGTCTCAACGACGACTTTGCTTAATGCTCTACACTCGTCCTACAACTCGGGACAATCATACCAATTGGACGCAGGAACCAGCGTGGTCGTGAATACATGGGTCAACGCCAACCAAACCGCAACAATCGATCAGGAACTGGCATTGAGGGCCTGGGAACATGCAAAAAGAAGAGCTGAGGATGGTTGTATTGTTCTATGGTTAGATCAAACCTTACCTCAGGTGAATAAATACGTACCAATACTGACGTCTATTTGATCCAGCTCAATCCATCAGTCGACACCATCCGTGTTAGAACCTTTCCTGTTAACGCTGCCAATTGCCACCCCCGGGGCTGCCTTCACAACACTGGCAGCTCTTCGTCCGTTCTTGTCTGCAGTGACTTCCTTTAATCCTTCATACTCCCTCTATTCGGCTCTCGCTGCCTGCTATACACTGAGTTTGCGAGGGGATGTGGTTGGCTTCTCCTGGGCACTGTCCACTTCTGGCATTAACATCCGCAAAGGCCTGCTGGACATCTCAGCAGAAACCGGCTACCGTGCATTCGATGTATTTTACTACCTTTTGACCTCAGCATCGACGCCAGCCGAACGGGAGTTCTTGGATCTTAAAGAATCCTCTGCCTACGCATTGCTCAACAAGTCCGGGACCTACACCCCGCCCTCATATCTGCCGACTGCGGATGATGATGCCGCAGCGGAAGACTTCAGGGCTGCCCTCAAAGCTATTGGCATCAAAGGTGCCTCGCAACGAGGCCTCCTCTCCGTTCTCGCAGGCCTACTGAAACTGGGTAATGCCGCTGGCTTCTTGGTCGACCAGGAAGACCTTGAAGAAACCTGTGAGGATGTTGGTGGCCTATTGGGTCTGGACCCAGAAGTCCTCCTCCACAAGTGTGCCACCGATGAGCGGGAGGTCCTGATCGCAGGTATCTACGAGGCATTGGTTGATTGGGTGCTTCGCAAAGCAAATGAGACCATTGCGGGTGAAGTCCAAACAACCTTGGAGGGTCATTCGAATTATAGTGGCCAATGGTCTGAAGAGGATACCGTGAGCATTACCGTTGTGGACATGCCCAGACCGGCTCTAGGAAAGGCCGTGGCAATGAGAGGCGTCTTTGATGATACTTTGGGTATCAACGCTGAAATGAAAGAAGATGGAGTCCCAATTCCCCCTGTCGGGCACGCTGTAACCAACGATATGAACAATGCAGTCGTACAGGTCGAAGCTGACCTCGGAATAACTACCGGCGCCGCCTGGAGTGAACGGGAACATGAGCTCAACAGAAAGCAAACCGTACTTGAGAAGGTAATCGATGACTTTGAACCGGACGCTTTTCTTCGACAAGTCCTTCTTCCAGTCGAAAACGAGGGTATCTCAGTTGCTAAAAGGGGCCGATTCGATCTTCCTACGATTATAGGTAGCAGTCGAGTTTGGTATCATATCTCTCTTCACCCCACCGATGACTCCCCTAGTGTACTGAATCCATTGATGCCGGCGGCGGCCTGGTCTGCAAGCGCTATTTCCCGTCAGCTACGTGACTGGAAGCTTCCAGAGTGGGCTAATCGTCGCCTTAAGGAACACGACTTCACGGCAGATTTTGATATGGAGGAGTTTGTTAGCCGGTATGCCCGGTTGGGATGCCTGGATGGTCGAGACGGCATTGAAAACTGGATCCTAGAACGGGGCTGGAGTAACGGCGATGCCTTTGTTGGATACCAGCGAATTTGGATGAGAGAAGGCGCCTGGTGGGAAGCTGAAACGATGCTTGACCTTAAGCCAGATGAATCGCCTGCATCTGATCCTTTCGCTTACGGAACTGGCATGTTTGACAATCCATTCGCTTCCAACTTGAACGTGGCAAACCACATGGCGGAATCCACGAGCCTTTTGGGTAGCCGTGACGATCTTCTACACCAACAGGGACACAGTACCCTGGCACCTCCCAGTGTTATGGGAGGTGCAAAATCGATCGCCCCGAGTGTGCCTCATACTATGAATACGGGTGGTGATTACGGTTTGGGCACCAAGGGCGACGACCGGAAGTGGGAGCCATACGACGCAGACTATGGCCATTACACCGGCGAGCTCGACCCCGAATATGGTGACCCCAAGCACATTGAAAAGAAGGACATCCCCTTTACACGACGTATGTGGACGGCGTTCGTCTGGGCATTGACTTTCTGGATCCCATCCTTCGTGCTGCGACACGTGGGCCGCATGAAGCGCCCCGATGTGCGAATGGCCTGGCGGGAAAAGGTGGTTCTCGTGTTTCTCATCCTTCTCTTCAATGGGCTTGTCTGTTTCTATATCATTGCTTTTGGAGACCTGCTTTGTCCCAACAAAGACAAGGTGTGGAATGAGAAGCAGGTCAGCTGGCACGAAGGCGACGACGACTTCTTCGTCAGTATTCACGGCAAGGTTTACGACATCAGCGACTTTTGGCAGATCCAACACAGTGACACGGCAACTGAAACGACTTCCTCCAGCATGAAGCCGTTCGCAGGACAGGGCTTGGACGCGTACTTCCCCCCTCCCCTCACCCAAGTCTGCTCTGACTTTGTCGATGATGAATCGATAACACTTCAAAACAACGATACGAGTGCTGTGTTGTATCCCCAGGCGAAGCACGATTGCGGTCCCCAAAACCAACCCGACAAGAGCACCAAGCTAAACAAAATCACATGGTACCAGGATGTTTTCTTGCCAAAGATTAAAGATTACTACAAAGGCGATCTGGTTTGGAAACGATCTGAGGTGTCAAAGCAGGCTAAATCAAGCTCGCGGTCCTGGGTCATCGTGAACAAGAATATTTACGATTTAACGGACTATTTCTACACGCTGAAGATGATGAACAACATCGATACGTATGATTTCTTGCCCACCACAGTCACGGACCTTTTTAAGAACTATCCGGGTACCGATGTCACGGATAAATGGCAGGATACGGAGCAGTTCCAAAAAGCACAATCGTGTCTTGACAACGTGTTCTACAAAGGAAAGGTAGATTTCCGAGATTCTCCTCGGTGTACCGTAAACAACTGGATTCTCTTGTCATTCACCGTTCTTATTTGTGTGGTTATCCTGGTCAAGTTCCTTTCTGCTCTCCAGTTTGGCTCCAAGCGTCGGCCTGCGCCGCAGGACAAATTCGTCATTTGCCTTGTTCCAGCGTATACCGAAGGCGAAGATTCGCTGCGCCAAGGTCTTGATTCACTGACTGCTCTGGAGTATGACAACAAGAGAAAGCTCATTTTCGTCATCTGCGATGGTATGATCGTCGGTGGGGGCAATGACCGGCCAACACCCAAGATCGTCCTTGATGTTCTGGGAGTTGACCCCAAGATCGATCCCCCTGCGTTGCCATTGAAGTCTATTGGCCAGGGAAGTGAGCAGCTCAACTACGGCAAGGTGTACTCAGGCCTTTACGAATATGAAGGTAACGTGGTGCCCTACATCGTTGTCGTGAAAGTCGGCAAAGAATCAGAGCAAAACAAATCTAAGCCCGGAAACCGGGGTAAGCGAGACTCGCAGATTCTTCTGCTCAACTTCCTCAACCGCGTGCATTACCGTGCACCGATGTCACCGCTGGAGCTGGAGATCTTCCACCAGATCAACAACATCATCGGTGTTGACCCTGAGCTGTACGAATACTGTCTGATGGTCGATGCGGATACCAGTGTCAAGGAAGACGCACTCAATCGTCTAGTCGCCGCGTGTGCCAACGATGCCAGGATTGCTGGTATATGTGGTGAGACCAGTCTTCAAAACCAAGAACAGAGTTGGTGGACGATGATTCAGGTTTATGAGTATTATATATCACATCATTTGGCCAAGGCATTTGAATCACTTTTCGGGAGCATTACTTGTCTTCCTGGATGGTAAGTCTAATTCAATACATGTCGAACGACTGCTTTTTGCTAACAATTTCTAGTTTCTGCATGTATCGTTTGCGGACTGCGGACAAGGGACGTCCACTCATCATATCCGATCAGCTGGTTCAAGAATATGCGGACAATGATATTGATACGCTTCACAAGAAAAACCTTCTGTCCCTTGGTGAGGATCGGTACTTGACCACATTGATGACGAAGCATTTCCCCTCCATGTCCTACAAGTTCGTACCCGACGCCTACGCAAGCACGGCTGCTCCGGAAACGTGGAGTGTGCTTCTGTCCCAGAGACGTCGCTGGATCAACTCCACTGTTCACAATCTCGTGGAATTGGCTTACCTGAAAGACCTATGTGGCTTCTGCTGCTTTAGCATGCGATTTGTCGTCATGGTGGATCTGCTTGGAACCATTATTCTTCCTGCGACCTGTGTCTATCTGGGATATCTGATTTACCGGGTTGCCAGTCACACCGGACCGTTCCCGCTTATTTCTGTCATCATCCTGGCGGGTGTGTATGGTCTTCAGGCCATTATTTTCATTCTCAAGCGTCAATGGCAGCACGTGGGATGGATGTTTATCTACATCCTCGCATACCCTATCTATAGTTTCGTCCTGCCTTTGTATTCGTTCTGGTTTCAGGATGACTTCACCTGGGGTAACACACGTGTCGTCATCGGAGAGAAGGGCGACAAGCGTGTTGTTGCCGTTGAAGATGAGGGTTTCGATCCTCGAAGCATCCCACTCCAACGCTGGGACGACTACGCTCTGGCGAACAGCCTCCCTGGCCGTCGCGGTGACTACGGTGTTACTCAGGAGAAGTCATACCCCGGCATATACATGGATGATAACGCAATGGAAATGGACGACATGCACTCCACCTATTCCTCCGTGAAGCCAGCATCTACGATCCTCACTGGGTTCCCGGGTCAAAACCGCAACGTCAACCCATACATGCCACCGCAATCTCCGGCGCCATTTGGCGGAAACATGCCTGGTAACCGCAACTCCCATATGTCGAACTTCTCCAGATACACCGACCAGCAGCATCTGGGAGGTCCTCCATCACGGCCCATGTCGATGAGCAACTTCAGCCATTACCAGGATAACCCTATGCGCATGAGCCGACAGAGCATGGGAATGGCACCTAGTACGGAGCATCTGTTGAATTCTCGACCCGCTACCCAGAGCCCGCTTATGGCAGGATATCACTCGAGGTCTGCTAGTGCTTTTGATCTCCACGGTGGCGCTGGACCGGACGAGGCTTCTATCACTGGAGCTATTCGTAACTGTCTGATGGAGGCTGATTTGGATACTGTTACGAAGAAGCAGAGTAAGTTGCATTCGAATTTCCATTTAAATGACTGCTGCTAATGATTATTTCTAGTTCGCGCTCTTGTCGAAACTCGCCTGCAGACAACGCTGACTGGAGACAAGAGAGTCTTCCTTGATCGACAGATCGATCAAGAACTGGCTAACATGTAGTTCGACAAAGTAAACTAATATTGTGGATATTGTTCTGGATGTATTGTCTCGGTTTTCATTTTTGCGTTTTTATGGCACGGCGTTCGGATATTGGAGCATCTAGCGAGGTTTCTTTTTTTTCTTGATACGAACATTTCACATATAATTAGAGCTGTAACTAATCTGAGTGATCTAAGTGGGGTGATATTTTATATTTAGCCTGTTTCTGTGTAGCATACGCGAATACTTAACCATATCATCTTCATCAACACATAAAATCTACTACAGAGTACATACCACACATATCTTCCAGAATATATAAACCTAAACAATGTCCTCCCAAACCCAACCCCTCCCGAACCCCTCAAACCCAGATTCAGAAGAAGACCAAGCCCGCCGCACCACCGAAGCCAAAACCGCCTTCACCGCATCCCTCTCCTCCATCGGCAACAACCACGACGCCCCCCTTCGCGCCCGCGCCTCCCTCCTGCACGCCAACGCCACTGCCCTCTCACAACAAGAGAACGATATTGTGCAGGCGACAGAGGATCTGGGGCGGTCGAATGGGGAGCTGGAGGGGGCGGCGGATAAGGCGCGGGAGGGTTTGAAGGAGATTGGGGACGTGCAGAATTGGGCGGAGGTTATTGAGAGGGAGTTGTTGGTACTCGAGGAGGTTGTTAAGGGGGTTGAGGAAAAGATTGAAGAACAGGAAGGGGGCGTGGATGGGGATGGGGCCGAGCAGAGAGGGAATGACGGTGTTGGTAGGAGGGTGGATGGGAATGGCAATGGCAATGGAAACGGAAATGGGGAGAGTAGTGGGTGGTTAAAGTGGTGGTAGTGGATTGTATTTGTTTACGTACTATGGTATAGCTCTAGCTTCCAAAATACAAGTGTCCAACTATCGATGATCCCATAATGGTCTATTCCACATCCTCTTCGCAATCCGCCATCTCCTCTAGATAACTCCTCCAAAGACCCATCTCGTCCACACTAGTCTCTCCGTCGCCATCTTCATTCCAAGCGTTATCCCATTCACCCCATTCATCCCAATCTCCCAGACTCATCAAATGCCTCATCGTCGGCCGCCCATGCGGACAGTTCCACGGCTTATCAATCGTCCCCATATTCCTCACCACCTTCTCCATTTGTCGCGAAGTCAAGTTCTTCCCAACCATGATGCTAGAGCGACATGCGCGCATAGCGAACATATTGCGCACTTTAGTAGGTCGGGGGATGTAGATATCTGTCGACTGGGTAGCCGTCTCGGATAGCAAAACAATGAGTTCCTCGAGATCACGAACGCCAAATACAACTTCCTTGCTTAGCGGTAGAGAGATGAGTTTACATCGTCGGCCGACAGGTTCGTTCCCGCTATCGTCGATGTCCACGATGAACCCGTTTTTCTCAAGTGCAGCGCGATTTTCTAGCACGATTTCCTCTTCGACCGCGGTTAGATCGAGAGTTTTTGGCTGGACGAGACGCTGGTTCTGGACAACAGTTTCAGCTTGGAGACGCTCGAAATTGAATTTCTCGTCTGAGGCGTGTTGGTCGATAATGAACAATTCGTCTTTGTTATCTGTGTCTGAGTCGTTCTTTGGAGATGACCGCGTGGCTATGATAAAACCGAGGTTGAATTGACCGATGATTCGCATTTTGGCAAAGTCGTCTTTGGTTACTGTTAGCGAGAGACAGTTTTCGGCCGTTTGTTGGGATGTTGCGGCTTCATTTGCGTTTGGGGCCGCGAATTTATCCTGGGTTTGAGATCGAAGACTCTCTCGTAGCTGCTCTATTTGATTTTGGATTTTAGAGAGGGAGCCGTTGATAGACCCTATCAAGTGGACGGTGGAATCCTTGTGAGCAGCACCCTTGTTCATCTTATTGACTCGATTGGTGGTGTTTTCATTGGGTAATGCGGCCTTTTCTGCTTCCTGAATGAGACGCTGTACCTCAGCCTCTTCGTGGGCTTTCTTTTCTTCTTCGTTCATGCTATCTGGTGCAGAGGCTTGCGTATCGGGTTCAACCTGATCACTGGCATCGTGCTTGGGTGACTCTTGTTCTTCTTCAATGTCATCGGTTGCATGATCACTTTGATCGTCAGGGACAAACAACTGAGAGCCATCTTCTGATTGCCCATCCTGAATATCCTCAGCATCCTCATCGATCACGACCTCATCCGCCTCATCCTCCTCATCCTCTTCATCCTCCTCATCCTCTTCATCCTCCTCTTCATCTACATCCTCAAAACCCTCCGTTGCCTGGATTCCCGGGGCAGAAAATCGACCGAATATGCCAGGACGGGACGGAGTATGTATCCTTCTCTTCCTCACCATAAAGCCGCCAGAGCCTTTATCTGCAGCTCTCTTTTTGGGTATCCCGCTTCCTACCATCGAGGTAACTGTTTTGTCTCCTATAGTGATGGTGGCAACCTCAGCCGGCATTCTCCTCGGGCGCATGCGATCAAAGGCATTTTGTATAGTATTTAGTGTTTCCTCGGGCGGATCCATCTGTGACGACGTAGGTTCATCGGAAATGGCGGTACTTTGTGAAGGCTCCAACTTTGTTTCTTCCTGGGTAGGGGGCTGGTCTTGTGATGCATCAGGCGACTCGTTTGGTGTTTGCTCGCAGTCTGTATGACCTTCTGTGCTGTGGGCCTGGCTTTTTAGGACCGGAGTAGAGCTCGTAGGAATTGCGGTTGGTGATGAAACAAGTGGTCGATCTGGTATACTAGAACGAGCTGGGGATGATGTATCCACCCCGCAACTGCTACTCCCCAGACTTCCTAGGAAGCTCTTCATTCTGTCCTGTGCATTGCGCGGGGTAGATTCGACTCCTTCATTGGCATCTGAGCACTCCTCATTCTGTACCCCTTCTTCCTCGTCTTCTTTATCATTTGCTGGAGCTAGAGCGTCAGTAGACAGTCTTCTAGATGCCACAGAAACCTGTGAGATCCCCCAAAACTGTTGTTTGAAACTCGGCTGTGATTGAGGAACCGTCTGATCCGCAGACTTAAACAACTCCGCAAGAGACGTCTTCAATGACTCAATCATCACACCGGCATCATGCAAAAGAATCGTCCGCTTGTCAGGCGACACATTAACATCGTAGGCATTCGTATCCATATGAAAATCCGCAAAAATAAACGGCGACTGAGAGACATTAAACGATTTGTAGACCTCATTGAACGCCTTCGCAATCTGCGGCAGACCACAGGGTCGTGAATTCACGAAGAACATCTGACGATCAGGTGTCTGCCTCCCTTCTCCAAATACTGGTCGAGATATATGGCCCTTGACCTGCATCTTGTTTACCTCTTCATCCTGACTACCCCCAACAAAACGCCTCCCACCCGTGGAGGGCTCAAACTCCAGAGCCAAATCAAGAGGTATCAGCGCAGACAGAGTCTTCGCACCGTATACATTCGCAATATTCTGCTTCGTAGTCGGATTCCCACTCGTCGCAAAGACCACCACATTTTTCGTTTTGCCCACTGTATTCCTCACATTAAAGCGCACGCCCGTACTGATACAGGCGTATGCATGCAAAAGGTTCAGGACTTTCCCATACTCGCGCTTTATATTCTTCTCGAGGTCACGCCGTCGAACCGGTAACCTGTTGAACAACCCCCCCACAGAAACTGTTGTACCCCGTTGTCCTGCCACGACTTTTGTATTCTTCAGTTTCCCCGACGGTTCGAAGTCTAGTCGGTTCGCTCGAGGGGCTTGTTGGGCTTGCGCTGTGACAACGTGGAAGTCGGAGAGGGCGCATAGCGAGGACAATGCTTCGCCGCGGAAACCGAAGGTTCGTAGGCTTGTGAGGTCTTCGTAAGTCGAGAGTTTGGAGGTGTAATGCTTGAGTGCTGTTCCTGATCAACACTAATCTGGAGAAATGAGCAAGTGATGGAGATATAAAGACGCACCTAGGCTTTCGTAGTTTTCCGGTGCTATCCCCCCCCCATTGTCCTGCACTTCAATCAAACCTAGTCCATTGTTCTTAAAGCGGACCTCTGCAAACATTCCATATCAATCGTAAGCCCCACTAGGCGTAGTATATAGCTGGAGAGATACCTATTGATGTAGCACCGGCATCGAGACTGTTCTCGACAAGCTCCTTCGCAACGGAGCACAGGTCGACAATGACCTGACCAGATTGGATTTGGTGGACCTGAATTGATTAATAAATAGTCGCGAGTAATGCATAAAAAAAAAAAGAAAAGAAAAAAAACGCACCGAACGGGCCTCGATAGCCTTGATGGTAGCCATTTTTCATCCCATGGTGAGTTGGGCTGGCGAGGAAGACGTTCGGGGAGACGCGCCGCGCGGTTCGTCATTGACGCGCCCTACGGTACCTCTTACAATACCAAATTAGGCAGACGATATGAATATACTCCTAGCAATATTCAATACTCGGTGATGAGGGAGAATAAAGATAAAATATAAAATACGGACACAAAGCTTCTATACTATACGAACAACAAGCAATTCAGATACAATAACGCCATACTCCTTGGGAATAACCAGCATCAGTATACATCAAAGCGATCGGGCATAACAACAGGCGCAATCAACGTCCACAAATAAATAGCATAGCACACCCACGCGCTGATAATCTTCACCCAGCTGGCCCAGTAGGTTCGGCCCACAGGGGCAAAGTCGTCGGTAGTTTGCGAGTCCGGATCCAAGTTCTGAGTTAACAGACTCGCAACCCAGCAGGTAGCCAGATAGAAAATAATGTGGAACAAAGAGTAGTTGTACTGCGTCGATCCTCGCTCGTCATCTTTCGTGGCATAATCGTCATCATCTTCATCGTCACTCTCATCCAGAGCGCTTGCAGGCAAGCTTCCGCTTTCGACGGCTGCACGAAGGGCCTCAGCGCGCATCTCCCGGCGGCTGTTAGGCTGCTGGGTGACCAGACCATGTTCGTTATCATCCGTTCCGAGTTGAGAGTAGCTGTGTCCACCCTTTGAGCCAAGCGCAATTCCCTGGGTAGCAGCACGAGTCGTAGTGTATGCAATAGTCGCCATTGTGACAATGGCACCCAGGATGATGCTGGCCGTCCGAGTGCCTCGAGAACGGATCAACGGATTGCATTGATGATCATCTGGTTCCATGGAAACGGCAGACATGGTCAAATATGTACAGTACGCAGTCACCATGGCAGCTTGCGCCAGTCCGGCTCTGGGGTTGTGCTCCTGCACTATCGGTTGGACGGATATAATCGAGATGATCAAGAAAACGACCAAGTTGATCTTTCATAAACCATAAATCGTAAGCCCTCTGAATTCATACGGAGGAAACAGGAAAACTTACCGAAATGGCGGCCTGGTTCATGGAACATCCGCTTGACGCGAAGAAGACGTACATCAGGACCGTCATGACAATGGATGCGATGTACATCCCGACAGTGGAGCCAATGAGCAACCCACGCCACACTTGCGAGTCGCTGTCCTCGATCTTCTGGAGACACACTTCGGCCCACGAGTGTGCCAGGTCCACGAGAAGAATCAGGCCCAGCAGCAAGAAAAGTATAGCGCCAAAAAAGGCAATGTACGGGCCATAGACGAAGTAGAACGACTCGGGGATGAAAAACGACATCACCACGAATCCAATCCACAGCACCATTTTCGGACCCCAGAATCCATTTTGCAGAGAGGCGCGGCTATCCTTAGAACTTCGCACACCCAACAGCAGAAGAGCCATAATCAAGTGGAACAAGCCAAGGCCGAAGTTAATACGGTGAACCGCCACCCATCCATGACACTCCTTTCCATCGCATCTAATTTGCATATAGTCCATAGTCATATGTTGAAGTTTTTTAAGGGCCCATGGTGTGAGCATTATCCACGATACGATGGAGTTGATCAAAAGGATGAAAGCGTAGGCAATTCGCGTAGCCATACTAATTGTACCATCTAAGCGTCAGCGAATGGTCTCATTCCTAACTCACGCTGCATTTCAAATTCAGCCACTAGAGCAATGGAGACATCATGTACCTGTTTTGGAACTTCCCACAAGCACTACAAACCGCTGAGCAGGTTGCAGCTCCACAGCATGAGGTCGCAATGGTAACGAGCTAATCAGCGTCAGTAAAGTCCTATACAAACACTTTCAACAGTCAATATACCGTTCCAACGCTCGGAACCGCTAAGAGCGGCAGAGATAGAAGAGCGCCCATCGTGTTTGTTTGTCGATGGAGTTAACAGTCCTGTTGGTACACAGAGATGGTCGACGGACAGCGCGAACCGAGAATGCGATCATCGCCGCCTTCGTCATGCGATTTTAGTCATACCGCTCACGTGACCGTTATCGCAATCCCGAAACGGAAGAGAACAACCCCCCATGCGCGGCCTCCGGATCTTCTCCAGTCCTTCCTTTTGGCTGAATATTTTTCCTTTTCGTTTCTTCGATAGGCCTATTTTGCATTCCAGTCTCTCCTTTTGCATGGAAGCCCCCGGTCTTCCTCCGTGTACCACCGGACCGTGACCAGCTCGGCCCGCAATCAATCGCTCTCTATCCGAATCCATACAATCAATCAATTATCGCGACTTTATCTCCTGCTAATTATATCCGTTCTGACACCTGGCCCACCTTTTGTCTGCGGGGACGCTGACGTTCAATTGCTGTCGGAATCGTCTCCTTTTCTCTTTGTATGCTAGACGCACCAACACAAGTGCCTTTAGCATCCTGACAGGCCTTCATGATGGGCTCAACCGATAAAACCAAGCGCATTGTCTCCGCTATTGCGGCGACAGTGGTTGCTCTTGCGGCCGGAACCAACGTACGATCATTTCGTTTATTATCTCTTGCTTGATATAAAATGCATGGAATAATGTCAGTTTCAGGAACAAGTTGCTAATGGTTTGGTTCACTTATAGTATGCATACTCAGCATGGGCGCCCCAGTTCGGAGAACGAATGAAACTGTCGTCAACCGAAGTCAATTTTATCGTGAGATAGACTGCATTGTTTATAATATGGCAGGGAATGGATGTTCACATCTTCTAGGGTACGGCTGGTAATCTGGGGATGTACGCTTCAGGCATCCCTCTGGGTTTGTTGACTGATGCTCGTGGGCCACGACTCACGACACTGTTGGGTGCGATAACACTGGGAGTGGGATATTATCCAGTTTATTCAGGTTTGTATCAACTCTGTTGATTAGTAATATTGGGCGATGGCGAGCTCATTTGTTTTCTCAAACAGCCTACGAGCATGGAGAGGGATCGCTAGGGGCAGTGCTTTTATCTTTCTTCGTCTTCCTCACGGGCTTTGGAAGTTGCTCTGCCTTTTCGGCCTCCATCAAGACAGGTGCGGACTGACCCTCCTAGGACATGAGAGACTTGAATGCTAAATGCTCTACCTACAGCGGCATCCAATTTCCCAGACCACCGCGGGACGGCAACTGCATTTCCTCTGGCAGCCTTTGGGTTGAGTGCATTCTTTTGGTCCACCGTGTCGACCATCGCTTTCAAGGATGACACTGGCCGATTCCTCCTGTTGCTGGCGCTGGGGACCTTCGCTTTGACTATCGTTTCGATTCCGTTTCTTCGAATTATGCCTCCCAGCGATCCTTACGCGCCACTATCGTCGTCTGAATCAAGAGCCGAATCTAGGCCGTTGCGCCGGACCAAGTCCTCCGAGTTTTCATATCACACAGGAGAATCTGATGAAGCAGGTACGCAGAGTTCTTCTACTCTTGAACCACAGCACCCTGTGCGTGGCCGGTCGCAATCCATCGTATCCAATTCCCACTCTCCTGTACACAATTCCGATGTTGGTGAGACTTCGTCTTTGGTGTCCAAGTCGAGGTCGTCACAGGATTCCACGAATGAGGGTCATCCCAAACATAATACCGACGAGGATCATGATGATGCTTTGTCTGACATTGGCATGGACTTACCCCACCCAGACATTCGAGGCCTTGCAATGCTCGCAAAGGTCGAATTTTGGCAGCTTTTCCTGACCATGGCGCTTCTTTCTGGTCTTGGATTGATGACTATTAAGTATGTGAATCCCGCTTGTTAATAGAAAGCACTAGGTTCGTTTGCTAACGTCTCGACAGCAACATTGGCAACAGTGTAAGAATGACTGCCTAACTCGCATGGCTTCAATATCTAACGTTATGCAGACCAAGGCACTCTGGAACCACTACGATGACAGTGCTTCTGCCAAGTTTATCCAGCAGCGACAAGTCATGCACGTATCCATCTTGTCATGCGGAAACTTTCTCGGCCGCCTTTCTAGTGGTATGTCACCCTATGTGCTCGTAGTTCTGAAACTTGCTGCTAAATATATTCCGCTTATAGGCATTGGGTCAGACCTTTTGGTTAAAAAACTGAACATGTCACGCTTCTGGTGCCTATTCATTTCCGCAGTCGTCTTTACGGGAACCCAACTCGCAGGCGCCAGCATAGACAACCCCAACACATTGGTTCTCGTCTCTGGCTTCACAGGAGTTGCCTACGGCTTCCTCTTCGGCGTCTTCCCATCTCTGGTCGCCCATACATTCGGTATCGGCGGCCTTTCTCAAAACTGGGGCGCAATGACCATGGCGCCCGTCCTGAGCGGCAACGTCTTCAACATGCTTTACGGAAGCATTTACGACAAACACTCTGTTGTCGGTCCAGACGGAGAGCGGGACTGCCCTGACGGACTGGGCTGCTATCAAGCCGCGTACTATACCACGTTTTTCTCCGGTCTTGCTGGGATCGTTGTTTGTCTTTGGAGTATCACGCGTGAAAAGCGGATCCACTCTCACAACAAAAGAGTTGAGCATGAACGCATTGCTTAGTCGTTTCGTTACTATACCCCCGGTTATTGCCATTCATTCGCTTTCATGATCTGATACATACACTCTCTTCCTTTTCCTTTTTTTTCTTGTTTATCTCACTATCATCTACCATCTATCTTTCATTCATTTCTTTTTTGTTTTTTCTCGTATATTTTGTTTGGATCTCGAAAGACTGCAAGTACATATTGTCAGTGATAAAGGAAAAGTTGATCGTCATGAACTGTCTACTGATTGACTCAAATCATAGATTTCGTTGCTTGCCACGAGTCCAATGAATGACCTAATCGAAAGAATTAATATAACATAGATGGCACTTTGCCAGATTTAAGACAAAGGGAAATACTCTGATAGGAAGATTGGCTTTGAGTCCATTAGAGACTTATCATCATGAACATCGTCTACTCCGGCATGACTTTCGTCGGAAAAAAAAAAAAAAAAAAAAAAAAAAAAAAAAAAAAAAAAAGAAAAGAAAAAGAAAAAGAAGTAGCCAAAATGAAAGGAAATATTCAATTCAAGAGTATAATAATGAGAACAAAGAGTATAGAAAACACCCACTCCTTTTTCTCTTTTTCCGATATCTTTGCTTCACTGCTTTTGCTGTCTCAAGGAACAAAACAAGAATGAGAAATGTTATATTCCTTATCCTTTCCTTGGCATGTGGGAAGGAAAGGAGATAAGATAGGACCGTAACAGAGAAGGAAAGTAACAAGAGGTTTTGAAATCAAAAGTAAAGGCGTATTAATATTCCGATTTATATCCAGCCAATGACAAAAGTCGTAAAGGGTATCAAAAAGAGCAGGGAGGATCAGAGGATTTCGGCGATGGGAGAACTGCTTCTTTCCTTGTCTTTTTTTCTTCTTTTTTCTTCTTTTTTTCTCTTTTTTTCTCTTTCTTTTTTTTTATCGGTGTGTGGTAGTCGTATACAAGTGCCTAATCCCGATGCATTCAATATACTTTCCTAGATGCTCTTGGGTGACTTGGTAGGTGAGGAAGCAGAGGGTTGTTCCACCACATCGGACAATTTAATTCGTTTCGCCATAGGTTCATCGGGACTTTCGTTATTTGCCAGATTACTGTCACCACTAGGGCGCTCAGACAGTTGGGTCTCAAGCTCGGTTACACGTCGCTGGAGGTCGTCTTCCCGCCGTTGAGAATCTTCCAGGGATCTTCGAAGACGCACCTCAGAATCCCGGACTATCATTTCAGAACGGCGCGCAGTGGCATCACTCTGCTCCAGTTCCGCAACACGACCCCGGAAGAGCTCATTGATAACTTCCAATTCACTGACGCGGGTGTTCAGCTTGGTGTTGGCGGCCAGAAGCCTCTCGTATGTTTGCGGGGCCTCCATGTGACGGTCCACCGTAGGAGACGGTTGGCGTAGCTGCAGGGACGCATGGCCATTGTGTTGGTTGAGGCTCTGTTCTGCGAGGGTAACGCTGTCGAACATGTGTTGTGGCGCGATGTTGGAATTGTGTTGGTGCATGGAAGGTATACCCGGGGTATCTGTCCGGGAGACAGGTGAATTGGAGCGATCAGAATGGCTCGGGGACGCCTTTCGCGACGCGCGACGATATCCATGGGAGCCAAGGGGAGGAGTTCCTGCGTCGGATTGCGCGGAGGTTAGACCATTCGCATCGGCGGTACCGCCAGACTATCAGGACTATCAGTTAGCATCCTATCGGAGGAAAGGACAAGAAGAAAAAATTTTGGCAGGCAGCGATGTACCTTGCGTTTTGGACCCTGGCCGGCGGTTTTAACTCGATTGCGACTTTTGATCACATCTGTTTTCAAGCTTATCGGACGGGGTCGACCGTGGAGTTTCAGGAATAGACCACAGGCGTTGCAGAGGACCGATCCGAGTTCATCTCTGCGCCAGAGGGGAGTAGTGGACGTGCCACAATTCTGGCAAACCGGCTGTAATTGAGAGCGTTTCTGGTCAGTCAAAGTAGTCGCCATTATGCAAGAGAATATAAAAGAGGGAGGGTAAGAGAGGAGAGGAGAGAGGAAGTGAGAAGTCAACAAGGCACTGATACGGACAGTGAGGCAGAAAGTGAGAGGATGTGCGATGGTTGATAAGATCGGGAGTGAGAGATTTGATTGCTGGACCGGGCGCGATAAGGATTTGGTGTGCGCCAAGACCCGCCGCGATAACACAGGGAAAAAGATCACAGCACGAAAAAGTTGAGATAAAAGCAGCAGATATTAGGAATTATCACTATAAATCACTCACCGGATGATTCCCCTGTCCTCCGGTAGTGGCTGCGGGAGACGACATCGCGTAATTCATGTTCATCGCATTGCTGCTCGACGCTCTGAACACGTAGAGAAGACCCGGTCAGCATACTTTCTTTTGGTCAAAGCAGCGTGCTATTTTTTTTTTTTTTTTCTTTGTCCTCTGTACACAGGTATGATAGCGATGACAGTGCTGGAGATTATACAATGGCAACGGGGTTTGAGGAGCGAGATGTCCAACATAGGCCCTTCGACATGGGATTTCCCGACTCGATATTAAGATAGCACATACCGCAGATTCGATGTAGGAGCAGACGCGACCGACGCGAGAGCAGATAGACCCGGAAGCGACGGACCTAGAGAGCTGGACTCAAAGCTGTTACTGCTATGGCTATGACTATCGATGCCGCCCACCTCAGGAAGGGCACCTGAAAAGTGTGACGCGGTGGAAGACACACCCGCAGCAGCATCCGTCAACGGATGACGAGATGCCACTTCGGAATCGATCGAGGAAGATTGGCTATAGTTGGGAAGCTCGTGAGTCTGCGACGTCGAGGGCGACGGAGGACGGAGGGCTGGGTCGATGGGCGATGCCCGGAAAAGGATGGAAGCCACAGTGGAAATCGTGGAGTGAAAAGAACTAAAAATCCGGCCAGATGTGACCGAATTGACCGAGAGGAGGCAAGGTAAAGAAGGAAGAAAAGATATGGGGAGTCCACACCCTCGGAGGAGTTACGAATCGAGAACCGCGGAGGAATTGGGGGCCCAGCCAGATTAGAAAACAGACAACACAGAATTCACAGATGAACTCAGTGAATGCTTTTCCAATCTACACCTGCGTCAGAAGGAAATTGAATGACGGGGGCTGCAATTGACTGGCGACGTTGGGAAGGGAGGGAGAAAGAATAGGAGCGAAATCTCATAAATTCCAAAAGCAAAACTTATCATCAGTGATATGTAAGAATCTCCCGAGGGCTGTCAACCACCGCCACTACCAGCATTCAATAACAGCAGCGGCAGCAATGGAAGCACTATAAAAACGTGACAGCAAATTTACTTTAGATATATTACAAGCAATTCGCAGATATTATTCATTATAAGAACAACCAAGACAGGACCGTAGCGTAAGTCGATAGGAAAAGGCGGATAATCATCATCGGCTTCATCTCAACAGGCTTGCCTAGTTATGGAAAATCTCCAGCCTCTCTGTTCTATGTCCTGACTTCTAATTGCTATTTGGGCTATCAGTATCGAACTCAATATTAATCCTGGACAGCAGAATCCTCGAGTATGCAATGCAGGACGCAGGGAATGGCTCCCTTTCTTCGGCGAACACATGGCGTGAAATATGCATGCACCCACACAAACTATTAATACTGGCGTGTCATTCTTCACGCTCAGGCAGACCTATCATCAATATCGCGTAGTATGGTAAACAGCACTCGTTCCAGATGCCATGGTCTTGGTTTCCTGTCAGCGGAGATATCAACCGTTTCGACCAACAAGAAGTACGAAGCTTTGACCCGTTAACCCGGGCTGGGCTTCACCAGATCTCAATGGATTACATGTCCCCGGATCACGGTATATAAGTGCTATAAGCAAGCTTCTATGCTTGCAGTCGTTTTGGGGGAATTTCACATCCATAATGGTATGCAAGTTTCACGGTTTCATGTCCACTTGAACATGGTCTTCAGAACAATGGGATTCCATTGATGGAAGACCTCAAAACATGGCCCTATGTTACCAATCAACACTTATAAGGGACAGTCATTTGGATCAGATCATTGGCCCTCGGTGAGAGTTTCGCTTGACGAACCTGCGACATCCGGATGCAAACCCTATCCGACGTGTGTACCTCGTTGGATATCGCACTAGAGTCCCAAGGCAATTCTCCAGCAGAATCATGTCAAGGTTGAAGCACCAGGAGAAGCAGTTCGAGGATCATACACGCCAATCTCCCTCGGATTACGTACCAACTGTCCTTTTTTTCGTTCCCACATGAGTCTGGGGATCTTCATTTGTCGTCGTCGGCCTGTTTCTATTAGTGGAAACTTCATACTCTGTCCTGTATCGGCGTCTCAACCATCTCCTATCTTTGACATAATGGCCAACATGGTTGTTCTATATGTGCAGACCTTCGCGTACTCTGTAAAAAGTGCAATATTGCCCTCTTTTTTCTTCATTGCATCGTCATGGCTTTTCATATGAACCTTTCAGGGGGCGTCGGTGGTTAAGCTTCTCCGCCCGGTGGAGCCACACGGCATTTTGTGGCTAAGTAGTATGGTAATTACCAGGATCTGTGGCTGATGCGTTCTTCAAGGGTCTCACAATAATGGTAACACAGTCACGTGCAGTAATTACTGGTAACCAGGGCCCCAGTGCAGTCGTAAGGACCCGAAAAGGAACAACTCGACTACATTATTACTATCATTACTACCAGTCGATTCTGCTTCTTTCCCTTTTTTTTTTTTTTCCTGCTTTATGATTGTAATGCTTTGAATAGACCTTCTTCTTCTTGTCTTTCGTTATATCTCCTTATCTACTTCGCCTTATTAATATTCGGCTCTTTTTGCCTTCGCTGATGATCTATCCTCCTTCGCCTCCGAACGCTGGCCTGCGAACACTCGATAAATAATTAACCTCGAACCGCTCGATCATGCCGAAAAAAAATCGACCTGCAACATCGGGCTATGCTCGTCTTGCACAGGAGGAGGATAGACACGAATTCTTCAACTATGACGATTCCGACGATGACGACCTTCATGGAGTTAATTCCAGCAACGTTTCCCAATCTGCCCCTCGATATGCTCCCATCTCCTCTCGAGCGCAGATGCAAGCCTCCGGGCTTTCTACACCTCCCGAGTATCGACGAAGGCATAGTGGTCATTACCATCGACGGGGACGCAGGAATTCCGGTGTGGACATCAAGGCTATCAACGCGCGTCTTGAACGTTGGGCCGAGGAAATTGCCTCCAAGTTCAAGATCAACAAGGTTAAGGGGAAAACACTAGAGGAGGAGAAGCTAGAAATTTATCATTCCGTTTTCCAAGCTCCAGAGGGCGTTCGACCGGTCACTGCGGAGACACTTGAATCCGAGGAGATGGAAGGCGCCGTACGGCAAGCGCGGGGTGAGTTCGAAGATGTGGTGGAAAGTGTGCGTGTGGCGATCGAGTTAGGAACTCATCCTCGCATGATCTCTCAGGGAAGTTCCGGTAGCTACTTCGCGCGCAACAGCGAAGGGAAAGTGGTGGGCGTCTTCAAGCCCAAGGATGAGGAACCTTATGCATCTCGCAACCCCAAGTGGACAAAGTGGATTCACCGCAACTTGTTCCCATGCTTTTTTGGACGGGCGTGTTTGATTCCTAATCTTTCTTATGTATCGGAAGCGGCGGCTTATGTCCTCGACGCGCGTCTACAGACTCACATGGTTCCTTACACCGACATCGTCTGGTTATCCTCGAAATCATTTTTCTACGACTTCTGGGACCGGAGAAAAGCATGGATGGGCAAGAAACAGCTCCCTCCCAAGGTAGGAAGTTTCCAAGTGTTCCTCAAGGGATACAAAGATGCGAATATATTCCTGCGAGAACACCCATGGCCCGACCAAGCCAACACTGGATTTCGTGCGGAGGATGCGCCGAAACGCAAAAAGCGGCCATGGAACGAATCCTGCCGTCCATCCGGGATCCATTCGGATGATGAGGATGAAGATGAATACGCAGATGGTGATGTGCCATCGCCATCCCCACGCGAACAGAGCAACGAGCGTCGATTCCAGTGGACCGAGGGGCTCAAACAATCGTTCAGAGAAGCATTGGAGAAACTTGTTATTCTTGACTACATTATGCGCAACACAGACCGTGGTCTGGATAATTGGATGATCAAAATCGACTCTTTTTCGGAAGAGGTCTCTATTGTCGCTGATCCTCCGAAGTCAAACGGGAACAGCCCACAGCCGGGTAATGACGAGGACGATGACTACTTGCGCCCAGCACAACCTGTTTCCTTGAACCCAAATCAAAACCAAAGTACCAGCGCACCGTATCCTTACAAACGTCACGAAACCATGGTTGCTATTAGCCGCACCGGGACACCTTTGAGCGGACAACAAGAACCGCCAGTTTCGATTCAGATTGGAGCCATTGACAATAGTTTGTCATGGCCATGGAAGCATCCTGACGCAGTAAGCTACCCCGAAGTTGAGTGAAAAATGTTATTTGGTGACAATGCACTGATATTTTCATGTTTAATAGTGGCGAAGTTTCCCCTTCGGATGGCTATTCCTTCCCGTCTCCTTGATCGGACAACCGTTTTCGCAACGAACGAGGGATCATTTCTTACCGCTTCTGACTTCGACAGCATGGTGGAGTGGCACACAAATGGCTCTCCGGAAAATATTCGCGCAGGACGATGATTTCAAGGAGAGCATGTTTGCCCGACAAATGGCCGTCATGAAGGGTCAAGCTTGGAATGTCGTAGAGACTTTGAAGCATCCGGACCATGGTCCTTTGGAACTGACAAGGCGGACGCGGGTGTGTGTCTGGGATGACTTGGTGGATGTTCCAGTTGCAATTCCTCTCCGCGCCCCGTCGACGGACGCACAAAAACGCAAAGCGCGACAATACGACCCCGATAATGAGGAGATGGACATCGGTGCGGCCATGTCGTTGCAATCCGACCATGATCTCTTAGGTCTCGGATCCCCCTCAAGTGAACTTCCCAACCCGAATCGGTTCGAACTTGCCCGTGATCGGGGCGAATCCAGTAAGCTGGGCGGCAGTCCTGCAACGATCGATGCGCATGAAGTCAACAGGGATAGTATTGACGGACTTAGCACCAACGGGAGAGACCTAGACAGGAGCTGGGCTACTCTCCCTCCTCGGCCCCATGCCAAATCTGCCAGCATTGGCGGTCACCGCAAGAATGACTCACTTTCCACTGTCCGCAACCAAGCGGCCTTTGTCTTTGGTAGCGATGACCTGGAAGGTGACCTGGGTTACGCTGCCGCAGAAGGTATGGAAGGGAACCAACGCAAGGTCATTGTGGAACGTTTGGAGGCTGTCAAGAGCAAGAACCCGGTATTCACATGGTGCTAAAGCACCTACCATTACTTTTGTTTCGAATTCTTTCTATTTCCTTTCATTTCTCTTCGGTTTTTCTTCGTTTTTAGCGTGTGTTACGGGAATCTGGTACTAGGAGTACTTGTTTAGTTTTTACTGCAGGGTATATCTCTCACTGTTACAAAATCATCTACTTCCATGCTGTTTGTATATAGAGCTTATGTGCCAACCGCTTTTCTTCCTAATTGGCATAGAGCCAGACTATGTAGCATTGACGATTAATTCCACGATTTTATTACCCTTTTGGTACATGCTTTGATAAGCGTCCTTATCGTGCTTGGCGCGAGTGAGATCATGAGCATTGCAAAACTCCTGGTTCTCTACCCATCTTAACGCTCCATCCTTTACGGTGTTGGTGATTAAGATCGCCAGAATGACTGATATTCACTAATATACAGTATCTTTTTATTTTCAGCGTTGTCTCTGCCACGGCCCTTTTTCAGTGTGTGGCATGCCTCGGTCGTCCGAAGTTCAATCCTTGTCTTCGTCAAATCTCGACATCTCCCTCGAAAGATCTACCTACGACTAACTTATCTTCCTGTTATTTAACCCGAGAAACGATAAACATCGATCGCAACGTGTTCCTAACCCCCGCAATAACGCTTATCTACCTGCGATACAACTCGTCAAGCCTGTCTCGGATACCTGCATAAGTGAGAAGCAAAGCAAAACAATCATGGCATCCCACGCGGCCATGCTCCTGGACCCGCGAGCCTACAGGAAGCAGATCCAGACAAACGGTAATAATGGCCCTGGATATAACCCCTCTGGTCCTTCAAATCTACACGACGATGCGACTTCCGCCAAGGGCCCTGACATTGATGGCACTTTGTTCTTCCCATCGCGGATCCGTTGCCCCTCTCCACCCGAGAATCCTGTTTATAGTTATTCGAGTTCGGATGCTGCTGCTTCACAGTCAGTTGGCTTACACGATGAAGGAACAACAGGACAGTCGGATCCCGGTCGTCAGTCGTCGCGCAGCCATGCGACTGCGCCCTCCATCACGCCGCCAGGCACCGTCACCGCCACCCACCAGTTTTTCAGCCCCCAACGCCTTCCATTATCGAGGACAACCGCAAAATCAAGGTCGCCACGACAGGATTCGAGTCGGTCGAGTAGCGTCGGGAATAGAGCGGTTGGGTCGCCACAGCGCGCTGTAAGATTAGAACCGACATTTGATGTGCAGTTCGCGACGCCGACGGATTTTGAGAATGGGAATAACGAGAATGGAGCTATCGATACGTGTCATAACAGCTTGTTAGAGGATATGTATGGCGTGGAGAAACGGGAAAACCAGCCGCGCAAGAGGATCAAGACCGTTGATCCGTTTGATGAGCAGCAACAGCAGGTTAAACGCAGGAACTTCATAATGGCCGGAAATAGTGGACTGGGGGAATGGGTGAAGGAAGACCATGGCGAGTCTAAGCAGTCTTCCCCTGCCGCAAACATCGTGGATCTGACACTAGGTAAGAAGAATGAAACCACAAATGGTGGTACCCTGCTAAGCTATGATATCCCAGACGCTCCTAGTCACGGCGATGATGACGACCTGCAAGTCACTGGTTCCAATAACCTCAGCGTCCAAAGAGTCTGCTACGGAAAGTTAGAAAATGCGATGGTTCAAGCGATTATGGTTCCTAGACCAGCTGCGCAGAACATTTTCGGAGACTCGGAACACGACTGGCCATCGTTAAAGCTAGGGGTGCACAGGGAAGCAAATCAGGGCAACAATCGGATAGATGTATCTGATCCCCATGAGAGAATATTCGGAGCAATAGACTGTAAAACTGCAGCAGTGATTGTTCCCTTAATTGATTCTCCAGCCTTGAAGGTGGATATCACGGCTCGATTGGACGTTCGAAGACGGTCACCAGATGAATATCCATGGGGACCCTGTTCCGCATTCTACCGTGCATCTATCAACCTCTATGGCCTCAGGAAGGACGCGGACATTGTCGGAAGACATCTTGGCCAGAATAATGTCTGGCTGGGGACTCCGAACTCTGTCGAACAAGGCGTTCCAGTATTTAATCCACATGCAGAACGCCGACGTGCTCAAGCATCTTTCTTACCGGCAGTAGCGGCGCGTGGTCGGTCGGGGGTTAACTATGAAGTTCGAACAGCCGAGGAAGTCAATGATGCCGTCATGAAGATGTTTGATCAGTTGCAGAGTGCAGAGAATCTCCCAGAAATGGAGCCTCCTTCGATTATTTCCACTCTGCTCCTGCGTCACCAAAAGCAGGGACTCTGGTATATGACGGAAAAGGAAAAACCGCGTAAATTCGGTCCTAAGGAAGAAGATAACAATTCGCTTTGGAGAATAGATTATCGCCCCAACGGGGCGAAAAAGTATCGTGAGATTATCAGTGGCTTGGTCCTTGACGAGGAGCCTCCGCAAAGCTTGGGCGGTCTACTAGCGGACATGATGGGTTTAGGGAAAACATTAAGTATCCTTTCGCTTGTTGCGGCTTCGCTGGAGCAGGCTAGCAAGTGGGAAAAGCTATCTCCACACCCGGAACTCGTTAAAACTCTACCAAACATTCGCAATACCAGAACTACGCTGCTGGTAGCTCCTCTCAGTGCCGTCAACAACTGGGTGTCACAGATTAAGGAGCATGTTGTCGAGGACGGCCTTTCTTACTACGTCTTCCACGGCTCGAACCGGACATCCGACGTCGACAAACTGTCTCAGTATGATCTAGTGATTACGACCTACAGCATCGTACTCAGCGAGATATCCGGGCGTGGTTCAAAACGCGGCGGTGTGAGTCCTTTGACCAAAATGAACATGTTCCGGATTGTTCTCGACGAGGCGCACACGATACGAGAGCAAAGTGCAGCCCAGACACAAGCGATCTTCAAGCTGAACTCTGAACGACGCTGGTCGGTAACGGGTACCCCCATCCAGAACCGCCTGGATGATCTCCTCTCTGTGACCAAGTTCCTTGGACTAGTCCCGTATGATGATCGATCCCGATTCGCGATGCATATCCTTAGCAGGTTCAAAACCGGTGATGCTACGGTCTTGGCAAGTCTACGTGTGCTTGTTGATTCGTTTACACTCCGTCGGGTCAAGGATAAAGTTGATATCCCTATTCGCCATGATAAGATCATCACCCTCGACTTCTCTGATAAGGAACGGCAGCTGCATGAATTCTTCCGGAAGGAATCGAATGTGATGATGAGCGTGATTGCCGGCCAAGACCAGACGAAGATGAAGGGCCGGATGTACCACCACGTTCTCAAGGCAATGATGATTTTACGACAGATTAGTGCACATGGAAAAGAGCTCCTGGAGCCTGAGGATCGTGAGCGGATCAAGGGGGTTAGCGCACATGATGCTATTGACCTGGAAGAGGGTGGTGAAGTTACGACGGGGCTCTCGGATAAGAAGGCATATGAGATGTTCACGCTGATGCAACAATCATCAGCAGATGCTTGCGCAGTGTGTGCGAAGCGCTTGGAAGAGCCGAGCATGGAAACCGGTGCTTCAGACAAGAAAACCGCAATGGCCATTGTGCTTCCTTGCTTCGATGTCCTTTGCCCAGATTGTTTCTCTGGTTGGAAGAAGGCGTTTAAGCCTCAAACGAATGGGCCTTTGAATGATATCAAATGCCAGATTTGCGAAGGATGGATTCCAGCATCATACTCTACGATCACTTCGGCAGGCCTCCAGGAATACGAAGTGAACCAAGCCCAGGCAAAACAGAGCCGAAAGCAAGCCAAGGCAATTGGAGAATACGAAGGACCGCACACTAAGACGAACGCCCTCCTAGCCTCAATCCTAGATTCCGCAGAAGAGACCAAGACCCTCCCCGAAGGCGAGAAACCAATAAAATCAGTCGTGTTTTCTGCCTGGACCTCCCATCTCGACCTAATTGAAATTGCCCTCAAAGAAAACGGCATCACAGGCTATACACGCCTAGACGGCACAATGTCCCTCTCCGCCCGCCACCACGCCCTCGAAGTCTTCCACAATGACAACAGCACCACCATCCTTCTCGCCACCATCGGCGCCGGCGGTGTGGGTTTGAACCTGACCGCTGCGTCTAATGTCTACATAATGGAGCCGCAATATAACCCCGCGGCTGTGGCACAGGCTATCGACCGTGTGCATCGTTTAGGGCAGACGAGGGAGGTCAACACGGTACAGTTTGTGATGAAGGGGAGTATTGAAGAGAAGATCTTCGAGCTGGCAAAGAAAAAGCAACAACTAGCGGATTTGAGTATGAACCGGGGGAAATTGGATAAGAAAGACGTTCAGGAGGCGAGGATGCAAGAGTATAGAAGCTTGTTTCGGTAATCATTTTTTTGTTTGGTCTGGCATTTGTTTTATCTATTTCCGGTCGTGGGTTTGGTGTTTATGGGCGAGTTTGGCTGGTCTTTTTTGTTTCTTTCATCGATTTTCCTCTTGATACCCGCAGAGATATTATGATACTACAGAGCAGATATTATACCCCGGAGATACACGAGAGCTGGCGAGACAGACCCATCCATAGAATTTTGGTTGATTCAATTGAACATGCAAGTTCATGGATAATCACCTCTCACCATAAATCCCCATCTCAACACCCCCCAAAACACCCTCCAACTTCCTCCTCAACCCCCTTAGCTCCCTAACTTTCCGTTCCCTCTCCTCCTCAACTGTCCTCAACTCCCCCTCCAACTCCTTAAGCCTAATCTCTTGCTCTTTCTCCGACGACCCAATCCCCGGCAACACAGAAATCAAATACTCAATCTGCTGCTCCTTGATAATTAAATCCCTCGCTAACTCCCTCTGCCGACTCGCAAACGTGCTTGGCAGATCTGGCGCCGGAGCAAGTGGATCGTTCAGACCTCCTCCTCCCACACCACCGGCACCGCCATCTCCTTTACCACCTGGTGTTTCCGGAGCTGCAGATCCGCCGCCTGTTTGGCCAGGAGGTGGTGGTGAGGCTTGACCTTGGGATTGCGATGCGACGTTTGCTGGGACGGGGTGGGCGGTGGAGTTCTTGGTGATTTTTGCGAGGGCGGGGGCGGCGTCGGGGACTTGGGGTTGGATTGCTGGGGAATTGTCGTGGTAGGTTGTTAGGTAGCCTAGGGTTGCGTAGAATTGGGTTGCTAGCTGTGGGCTTGATTAGATGGCTTGGTTGGTAACGGGGAGAGGTAGTGGTTACCTGGTCGAGGCAGGTTTGGAGCTGGGTTAGGATGTCGGCCATGATGATTATGGTATGAGGGGTATCAGATGCGGTATTATATGTGGTAGTGAGTGTTCATTTTATTCATGTAATCTGAGAACGCGGTAGTTTTGGTTCGTGAAGTTGGAGATGCGGAGAAAAAGATAAAGCTCAGGCGGTGATCAGATAATTTCTCTTCCAACCACTCCAACACCATGGGCCCAGCTCGCTCAATACGAAATAGCCTCCTCCAAACAGGACAAAGACAACCATGCCATCGCCAATTCACCCAACACACAATCCTCCATAATACACCCTCCTTCACCCCTCTCACCCGCCGCCTCTTCAAACTCCCCTCTTTACCACCCACACCCTCCCAAAATCACCACGACCTCCCTTCCTTCCTCGCCTACGCCGACAGAATCGCTTTACCCGAATCCAGCACAACATACGTAGGCACGCACTACGAATACACAGTCCAACAAGTCCTCCGCCGCTTCGCCTTTTCCCTGCGCCGCGTTGGCGGGCGCGATGATCTGGGGGTTGATCTGGTGGGAACCTGGCACTTACCGAAACACGAGCACCCGCTGCGCGTATTTGTGCAGTGTAAAGCGCTGAAGACTAAACTGGGCCCGAACCTTGTGCGAGAACTGGAGGGGTCGTTTAATCTTCGATCGTCACCCGTGGATAGTGGCGGGGGAGGGGGAGGGAAATTGGGTGTATTGGTAGGCACGCGCGAGGCGACGAAGGGTGTTAGGGATGCGATGGCGAGGAGCTCATATCCGGTTATGTGGATGATGGTCGAGAAGGAACGGGGGACATTGCTGCAGGCGTTGTGGAATGCGAAGGGGGAGGAGATGGGGTTGGGGGGGTTGGGTGTTGAGGTACAGTTTTCTTCTGAGCCTAGTTCGATTACGAAGAATATTGCTTTGACGTGGGATGGGGAGGAGATTCCGGGTATGGATGAGGTGGAGAGGGATATGGCTAGGCTTGAGGATCGGTGGATGGCGCTTTGGGAGAAGGACGGGCCTATGCCGGAGAGTCGCAAGTGGGCGCTGTTGGATATCGTAGAGAAGCTGTACCCTGGGGAGAAGCCCTTAGTCGGGACTATGGGGTTTACGGGGACGTGCAGTATACTGTCTGATGAGGACAGAAAGAAGGTCCTGCAACTCTTGAACGAGGGCGAATCCGCTCAAACAGAAGGAAACCAAGCATAAATCACCGTCCAATCTCGTAGCTTCTAAGTTCACGAGTGGTTCTTTTGCACTGTACCATTTTGATTCATCCTTAAGGGTATATAACTTATTATAGACAAAACATAGCCACTAATTTCATATGCTAAACGCCTTATTCCAAACGCCAATACCGACATTTATCCCTGCATAGTCGACCAGAAGTAGTTTGCGTAGAAGAACCTTGAGAACTTCGAGTCGACATTAACCACGTGCACATCACCCTTCCGACTGTTGCGAATAACAGCCTTGGTGAAGTTTCCGGCCTCGTCCGGCTCGATATCGATGCCCAAAGATCTAAATATCTTGAGACGGAGACTGTGACAGTCAGCATATGCCCATAAATCAAGCGATATAGATAAAATCTCACATCGTAGCATCATCAGCCTCCCTCTCCCTCCTCGTCCCCTCATCCCCCTCTAGTCCCTGTGCCTCCAAATCTGCCAACCTCTCCTTCAACATCTCCAGCTCACTTTCGAGTCTCTCACTCTCAATCTCCAACTCCGATGCCGCCTTTGCAATCCGGAACTTCTTCGTGTCCAGCTCGACAATGCCCTGCGCGTGTCTTCCAGAGTCGTGCGCGGTTACGGCTTCTTCATGTTGCGCGTTTAAGGAATTGAGGTTGCGGGAGAGTTTTCGGAGGGCGGATTCGGCTTCGCGTGAGCGCAGTTCGCGGGATTGTTGGAGGGTGGAGAGGGAGTCGTTGATGCGCGTTACGGCTTGTTTGTCGGGATGGATGTTGAAGTTGCCGACTGTATGGTGGATGAGCTATCAGTTAGTTAGTTTATGTTTCTTTTCTCGTGAATATGAGAGTACGTGCAGTCGCGGGGTCCTCGTCGAGAAGCATTTTGGCTATAGTCAATGCGTTCAGTGTCAAATGAAGTTTGGTAGACGGTGGTTTTGTTGATGTTTGGGGTTGGGGGAGCAACAGCCACAGCGCCACGGACCCTGCACCGCCACGTGTTGGCCCTCCGCAAGTGACGAAAAGCACGAGGATCAACACACGCGGTTTTGTTTCTCCATCTGCCATCCTTCTAACCGGATATCTTTGTTTGAAGAGATCTATTACAACATACTATCTAATTTCCATACCTACTGTCCAAGTGCTGCTCGCAGAATGTCAAACCTACCATGTAAGTGCCCGCTCCATGTTGTTGATCCTGCGTTGATTGCATGCTGACCTGAATTCCTTGCAGACGCTGCAGATGCCGAAAGGTCGGTATATTATATCCGTTGATGCTACCGCCCATAATTTCGTCAAATCCGGTTCGTGAACTAATTTGTCTTCAGCCCGTTGAAGCCAGCGGAGCTCCAGGTCTTGCGGGCACAGTATGAGAAGGAAGGGGACTATGTTGGAATCCAGACCAAATTCAACTTTGCTTGGGTACGATTATCACTAGGTCTCACTTGTGTTATGGGCAACTACTACATGCACTGCCTACTCAATGACATGACATGCTGACCATCTCTACCCCACCACAGGGCCTAATCAAATCCAACGCTCGCTACGACCAACAAGAAGGCGTTCGTCTCCTCTCTGAAATCTTCCGCGCCGCTCCCGAACGTCGCAGGGAATGTCTCTACTACCTTGCTCTCGGAAACTTTAAGCTTGGCAACTACGGCGAAGCCCGACGCTATAACGACTTGCTCCTAGACAAGGAACCGGCAAACATGCAAGCAGCTAGTCTGGGGCAGCTCATCGATGACAAGGTGTCGAGAGAGGGCTTGGTGGGAATTGCGATTGTGGGTGGTTTGGCGCTTGCTGCTGGTGTGGTTGGGGGTATGATCTTCAAGGGGGCTAAGAGACGGTAAACCCGTCTCATATCTTCAGTTTCTATAAGAAAGAGGAAAACGTTGTATATACTAGTGGCTTTGTTTGTTTGGGATTTGGTCCAGCATATTCGACCGGCGTTTCTGCTTTCTTTCGCTTTCGCTTCACTGCCGGTTGCCAATTTGTTTACCTGATGAGTCATGACATGAGTTGTCAATACACCAATGCCTAGGGGCTTCTTCTGTATTCTACGTCTACATTGATAGTACAGTGAACGTGAATCATTAATAGTATAAAATTCCCTGGTGCATATACATATACTCCGTACTCCGACTGCATCGTGGGTACGTCATCCAACCAGCGCCCGAGTCGTTAACCGATTCCGCTTTCTCTCGCCTCATCTCAATCCGCCCTGTTCTCTCTGTGACTCTCTATTTTGTTCTCTCTGAGTATTTGTCAGTCAGCAGAATGAGTTAATTACTTCTTCTCCTCGTTTGGACCGTTCGATATTCGATGCGTTGTCCTGAGACAATGACCGCAATCCTCTTCTGCGAATAAGACTGCGTCTACGGAGATTGTCTGCGCTGTATGCTCCTATCATCTTCCCTCGATATTATCGCAATACCTTCAAACGCTCTTCTTCTTTATCCACTCTACTTTATCTGAATACACCTGAATACCTGAGTCAACGCCATGGAGAACGGAGATCGAATGTTCTGCCATCATTGTGGCGGGGTCTGGCTCCGGCGTTTTGAGGATGACCTGCAGTGCCAGCATTGCAATTCAGAATTTACTGAAATAGTACGTTTCTGTACCAATGAACACGCGAGAGGAATACAAGCTAACTATGACTCAACCAGATCGAAATTCCTCCAGACACCGAGGAACCACCCCGCCATGCTACCCCACCACTAGCCTCACCACGTCGAGAAAGAACATTTCCTCCGGTTAACGCCTTTTCCAGTCATAATCCCTGGGCTCATGAAGACGAAGACGAATACGATACTCATGGCTTCAGTTCGAGTCCCGGGTTTGCCCACCGCGCCTACAGATCTCCAGATGGCCGGTTCAGCTTTTCGAGCACGACATTCAACGGAAGTGGAGGCCTTAGTGGCGGTGGTGGCTTTGGTGGTCCCCCGCGCTCATCTGGATATGGGACAGATGAATTCGGTGACCCCTTGATGCCGATGGTACGCCGGTTGGATACAATCTTCCATGGACTCGCGGATACCTATCGCCAGCAGGGCCAGGGCCAGGTTCTAGGTCGGGAGTCGTCGAGACAGACAGAAGCTACTCCTGCGCGACCTCAGCATAATGATTTTCCGGATCCTGAAGAGCGGGCCCCTGGTGAGCCAGATGATTTTGGTCCTCCAAGGTTGTTCCCGAGGAATGCAGATGGTCCGCAGCCGATGGCGCCGCCGTTGGGGACGTTGGGAGAGTATGTTGCTTTTCCTATCTTTGCTTATGTTGGTGTATCGTCTACTAACCTTGGTAGTATTCTTGAACTCTTTCAGCAAGACTTCGGTCAGGGAGGACAGCGGTCTGGGGGTGGAAGTGGAGTCCGTGTGATGACAGGACCGAATCCATTGGCCATGATATCGAGTCTGTTGAACTTTGACCGACACGGTGACGCAGTTTACTCACAAGAAGAGCTGGATCGGGTAATATCGCAATTGGTTGGACAGAATGCGGGCAGCAATGGGCCCCCACCCGCGTCTCATAACTCCATTCAGAATCTACCGAAGAAGCCTGTTGACCAGGAGATGCTGGGAAACGATGGCAAGGCGGAATGTTCGATTTGTATGGATCCGGTGGAATTGGGGACGGAAGTTACCGTACTCCCGTGCAAGCATTGGTTCCACTACAACTGTATTGAAATGTGGTTGACCCAGCACAACACATGTCCTCATTGCCGACGAAGCATTGACGCACCTGCGCAGTAAGTTGTTTCTACATCCTAAGATCTGGAATACAAGCTAACGCTGTGCAGAGAAGGAAGTCGTGAGAATCCAGTGACGGTTGACAGCCCCGAAGCCTCGCGCCGTTCCAGCAGTGCCATTCCCGGCCAAAGCGGGCGGCGCTGGTCATCAGCTTATGACAGCGGAGGACGACGTGCGAGTAGTGGACAGGGACAAGGGCAAGGGCAAGGGCAAGGGCAAGGACAAGGACAACCTGGTGGAGGAGGACTTGCAGAGTGGCTGAGAAGCCATTTTGGTGGAAGTTAGGGTTTTGTTAGGGTTGGATGGTTGCAACACCCAGTTATTTATTGCTTCATAGACTGGATGTCCAGATTGTTATCCTGTATGTATTATGATTGACGACAGCCGTTTTCTTTACTTCTACGAAGAGGTATTTTTGCCAGAGTTATGCCGAGGATTATCAGATGGAGATAAGATAAACCCCACATTGCTACGACTCCTCTTTGCTTTCGCAATTGACAACTTCAATTGACCTGGATTCAATCACTTCGAACGACCATACATGCGAAAATAGCAAAATGAAGACTATCTACCACAGTGGGATCATCGTCACCGGTAGTCGACAGCAGGATATGTCCACGCCCCCAACCTGCCTAGTCGTCGAGAACGATCTCGTTGCCTACGTGGGCAATGCCGACGACCCCTTCGTCGCAAAGACCATAGAAGATGTTGAAGCCCATAAAATCAACCTGGGAGGCAGAATCATTCTTCCCGGCTTTATCGACGGGTGCGTCTCCTCTCCCTCTCCTCTTTGCACCACTATCAACCTAATAAAACAACCAGACACATGCATCTCCTATTCTTCGGCGCTAGCCTCTCCAAAATCGATATCGAATCCTGCAAAGATCTCACAGACATCCGAACTACCATCAAAACAGCCGCGCAGCAGAACCCCTCCGCAAAACGCCTCTTCTGCCGCGGCTGGATGCACACCATGACCAACGGGATCGCTCTCGCAAGCATGATCGATGATCTCGACCGGCAGCAACGGCCGATCTTCATCGACTCAAAGGACCTACATTCGACATGGTGCAATACGCCTGCGCTGAAGGAATTAGGCGTTGATGAGAACACGCCTGATCCTGAGGGCGGGGAGATTAGTCGGGATGAAGAGGGGAAGCCGAATGGGTTGCTGAGCGAGGCTGCGAATGTGAATATCGCGTGGCCACATGTTGCACGTATTGCGACTGTTGATGAGCGCGTGAAATATATTCGCGACGCGGTGAGGACGTATAATGCAGCGGGATACACGGGAATAACGGAGATGGCAACGAATGAGACGATCTGGGAGGCTATGCGTGTCCTCCGTGAACAGGGGGATGTGTCGATTCGTATGGCTGCATATTGGATTATCACTCCGTGTAAGACGGATGGGGAGAATCTGGCGCAGGTGGATAGGGCGATTGAGTTGCGTAAGCAGTATAACAGCAGCACGTCGCCCGATTTCCGTATCGTGGGTATTAAACTTATCTGCGATGGTGTCGTCGATGCGTGCACTGCATCTTTACTCAAGCCGTATTCCACGAACGGTGTTAATGCAGGAACAATCTGGGCCCCTGATGCCCTGCACAAAGTTGTTCAGAAGGCTGATGCCGCTGGCCTCCAGTGCGCGCTGCATGCTATTGGTGATGCAACTGTGAAACTAGCCATCGATATACTGGAGGCTGTTGGAACTCCAGGCCGCCGCCACCGTATTGAACATCTTGAGCTCACGGCGCCAGAAGATGCGAAGAGGTTGGGTGATTTGGGAATCACAGCATCTGTGCAGCCTGTGCATGCTGATCCTGCTATCCTCCGTGCATGGCCAGCCTTGCTTGGCCCAGCCAGGTTACAACGTGCGTTCGCATACAAAGAGTTCCTGGACCATCACGCACCATTAGCAATTGGGACAGATTCACCAACAGCGCCGCACTGGCCGCTCAAGAATCTATACACAGCAACCACACGACGATCAGCAAGAGAGCCAAAATTCGAAACCAAAGTAAACGAGCATTTTGCGCTAGAGTTAGAAGAAGCTGTTTCTGCGGGGACAGCGGGAAGTGCGTACTCGACGTTTGCGGATGGGTTCATTGGGACCTTGGTGGAGGGGAAGAAGGCAGATTTTGTGGTCTGGGATATGCAGTGGGACAACGAGAGATTGTTGGAGGCTGCTGTGCATGAGACGTATTTTGGGGGAAGACAAGTCTATCACCGTTCTTAGATTGTATATATTATAAATGGGGTATATATATGTCTATAGTCTGGCTTCGGGTTGGTGTTTCTTGCCAACCTGTTCACACAACTCTCTCAGAATAGGAGCCACCCATTTGAAATCACTCTTCTCCAGATAAACCTGTGCACTCAACCTTGTCCAGAGCCATCCTCCGTGCGGGAACACAGGCAGAAACGTGTCAAATCCATCAACCAGCGTATCCTGCATCCACCGACAAACACCCTGCACTTCATCCGCGGGCAAAGGCATACAAACCCTCTTCTTCCCAGCATCAGCCGAAAGATCCGTACCATCCTGAATGGGAATCGGCAACCGGATAGTAGTCATCGCACATTTCCGCAGCAAAGATTCTCTCCAATGCCGTATCCCGGGCTCCTGCATAACTTCCGTTCCCAGCTCGCCCGCAACGATATCAGCGGCCTCGTTGGCGAGTTCTTCCAAGTATGTGAAGATCTGTTCATCCCCGCCACAGGTTTCTCTGCGGAATTTTATTGCAGTCGGGATACACAGGTACGGCGTATCATCAGTCGTAGCTACAAACTCAAACAAACTCTCAAACGCCGATTTCCCACCACCAGCCGTTTGCATCGTCGATGCCCCGATCCCCGCTGAGCCAGGGGTGGGGATATAGCCCCAGGATGTCGGGAGAGTCGTACGTATGAGATGTTGGTGACGGACGGGCACGTAGAGAACTGCGCAGCCGCGCGGCGTGTAAAGCCATTTGTGACAGTTGCTGGTGAAGAAATCCGGCTGCAATGTCCCAAGATCTAACGGGATATGCCCGATTCCGTGTGCCCCATCAATCAGACTCAAAACGCCCTCTGCGCGACATACTTCGACCAAACGCTCGAACGGGAAACGGACGCCGGGCATGCTGACGATGGTCTCGAAGACTGCGACACGGACGTTCAACCCTTCTTCCCTTGCTGCGCGGACAGCATCCATAAACTTCTCGACTAATTCCTCCGGATGCAATGGCAATCGGTATTGCACTTTTTTCAATGTCACGCCTGTCATTTCGACCGTCGAGAACAACATCCGCTCCACAGCCCCATACACCGTATCGAAGTACACAACCGCATCTCCCTTCTTGAAACCCATATTATGTAGGACAGTATGCACGCCTGTTGTCGCATTCTTCACCAATACAACCTCATTCTTAGGAACATGGAGCAAGGAAGCGACTTCTTGTCGCGATGAGTCAAGAGCCTGCGGTGTGGTGCGGCGGATGAAGAGGTCTGGACGGGATTCGGCTTCAGATTGAAGGTTGTGCAGGGCATGTCGGACGAGGAGGGGGTGGGTGCCAAAGGAGCCTGTTTGTATATTATTAGTTATACTGATATATAACCTGGGGAGATGGGAGGGCATGCCGTGGTTGAGGTTTTTGAAGTTAGGGGAGAAGGAGAAGTGTTTGAGCATGGGGGCTCCGAAGGGAGTTGGGAAAGACATGTTTGCTGTATCCAAATGTCCTCAATGAACGTAGATAACTGGAAATCGTAGAGACTGCAATAACAATAGACATCGAAGATGGAGACGATTACAGGTCCGGATCTGCTGCAGGCGGAGCGGAAAAATACTCGGTGTGGAATTCTGGAATTCTTGACCCATTAAGTTAAGCCTCATTTATACAGAGCGTTTATAGAGAACTACTAGAATGTATACAGACTACACTGATAATGACATGACCAAGTACAACTATGTTGACACTAGCTCAAGTGAGATATCACGATATTCACAGATCTGTCCGACATAACTTCTGTTCAATCCTGTTATGACACTTTTACCTCTTGCCCTTCTTGCGAGGAGCAACCACCTTAAACGCCGCGCTAGCACTCTCCTCCTCCTTGTTTACATGCGAGGATGATGATGATGATCCTTTTTTAGCCACCTCGCTCCAGCCACCTCCGTTCTTCTGGTCCGCGTAGGCACTCGCCGACACGGGGTCGACAATACCCTTGTCCGCAAGCTTGCGACGACGGATGAATTCTTCAGCGAAACGACGGCCGTCCAAAGTAGGAGAGTTGGCGTAAACCGAGTCCGAGATAATCTCCGCCTCAGCGGGCAAGAACAGCAATTGCTGAACAAAGTCGTCGACTAAAATCGTTAGTATAAGAGATAGTCGGATACAGGCGAGGAGGAAAACCTACCATTGATGTTGCTGTTTAGTCCCTTGCCCAGAGTCAATTTAGCCCACTTAGTGAATTCCTCCAAAGCACGGTTCGGGTTTGGAGGAGAGATAGTAGTAGGAACAGTGTTTACGCTAATGGGCCGAGGAGACGGTACGACAGCTGGCTTGGGCTTCGCCGCCACAGGACTGGCTGCTGCAGGGGCCACCGGAGTAGGTGGTGCCTTGACCTTGCCACCAGCACCGACTGTGGTCCATGCACTAGTGCCCGAGGAGACCGTCTGAACAGGAGCCGGGGTCTTGCTCGCGAGATCAGCATATCGCTTCCCAGCACTGGCTGCAGCGGGAGGACTGGCAGCTGCAGTCTGCGCGGCAGCGGTAGCGGCAGCGTTGGCCATGCGCTGCTTACGGGCTTCCTCTTCCTTCTGGATCTGAGCGAGTGTCTTCTTGGCACCAGTAGGAGCAGTCTGGCCCTTGTTGTTCCAAACAGAAGTAGTCGATGTCGGGGTTGCAGGGGATCCGGCACTGGCCCAGTTGGCAGTCGACGGCAAGCCGGGACTTTGAGCCTGGGCCGCCTGGCTAATACGTTCTTGCTCCGCGAGCAGTTGAGCGCGACGCGCGGCAGCGGCCATCTCTTCTTTCTGGGCAGCACTGCGAGCCTCGGCCTCCTGGATCTCCTTCAGAGAAGGACCCTTGGGTAACTCGTTGGCATCCTTAGCCCATGGCGCAATGGAAGTAGTCGGGGGCTCAACGGGGGTCTGGGTCTGAGAACGCGAGTTGGCAGCGAGAGACTCAGCAACATTCTGGCGGTTACGCTGAGCAGCAGGGGCCGGGAGAGGCGAGGCAGACGGAGGGGGAGGGAATGGACGGGGCAAGCCGTTGTCATTTTTGTTCCATACGGATTCACGAGGAGCCTGTTGTTCTTCCTGCTCATGCTGGCTCTGCTCTTCCTCTTCCTGCATCTTTTGCTCTTCTTCAAGCTGTTGTTTCTGGGCAGACGCAGCCTTCTGGACCTGCTGAGAAAGCGTGAGAGGCTCCTGGGTAGTCGTGGTAGTCGTGGTAGTCGTGGTCGTAGTTGTAGCCTCATTGGCCTCGGGAGCAACTTCCTCCGAGGACTCCTCCTGCCCAGGCTCGTTCTGCTGAGAGGTGGGGTGCGTAGGAAGGCCTTCCGCAGTCCATTCACCCTCCTGCGATCTCAGAGCATGGAACTGGCGGAGTCGCTCTTCGCGAGCCTGCTGGTCAAACAAGCTGTCACCCTGCGCATTGTCAAATTGTTCCTGTTCCTGTTGTAACTGGGCCCGGTCTTGAAGCATGCTTGCAACTTGCTGCTGGTGCAACAAGTTCTCTGGCTGGCGTGCGGCAAATGCTGGACTTCCAAACGCAAACGGATCGGGACGGCTCACGTTTAATCGGTCCAGAAGAGCCGGGAGCTGATCCTGGTTGCTGATCAAGTCAGTGCCAAGCATTTGCGGGCCAAGGTTGGGCAAGATGTTCCCAAAAAACCCGGGGGCATTCTGAGGTTGTTGCTGCAGAGGAGCCTGGATAGGCGACGGCTGGAAGCCGACTGGCGAAGTGAGACTTCCGAGACTCGGCTGGCTGTGAAGGCTGTGAGCACTTGAGTGATGTTGAAGTGGCTGAGGTACGCCAGGTGGGAGGCCTTGCAGCTGCATCTGTTTCATTAAGGCCTGCTGCTGCGCGAGATGCTCCTTCTGCCGGGCCATAAGATACTGCTCTTCCTGCTTCCTGCGTTCCAAAGCATTCTGCTGTTCAGCGGTCAAAGTAGTGCCAAAGCTTGGGAAACTGCCGGGAAAAGGTGGTTGAGCAGTGCCGGTTGGGGCGGCCCACGGAGTAGCATTGGGGTCGGGTCCGTGAGGAATGCCAATCTGGGGCACCAGGAACGGTTCGCGCGAGTTCCCAATGCGACGTACCAGCTGCGCCAACGGCTCGAATTCCGGGTCTTCAAGCTTCTTGATCTGTAAGTCGGGGCTGAAGAAGCCAGCCTTGAACCAGTCGTGCATCTCCAAACCGGTCCAAGGACCCTGAATGTTGCCCTGAGGGTCACGGTAAATCCATCGCATACGATCGGGCATGACCATGGTCCGCTGCTGAGCTGGAGGAACCGAGCTGGGGTTGCTTGCCGATTGCCCGGGAGTCTGGCTTGGCTGAGGCACTTCTTGGGATGCCATCGGAATCGAACCAACAGCAGAGACCGGGGTCTGGGAAGCCGAGGTGCTTGTGGGCATGTTGGTTTGACCGGCCTTATCGGCTTGCTGGCCATCCTCTCCCCGGTCACCCTGCATCTGCTCCTGCATCGCCGCAGGGAACAAGGATCCCAGCTTGCTGGAGCGGCCTAGACTGTTTGTACCGGAGATTCCAGCGTGCGGGCTAAAGAGACCACTGCCTCCCAAGGTCGATAGGCTTGGAGATTGAAGCTCACCGCCCATCGAACCGAAAATAGGGTCACCAAAGCCGCTTGAAAAGGCAGATCGCTCCCTGGTAGGTGTCCCAACTGCCGGGTTAGGGGGCCATCCGGAGGCAGCGCCTCCCAGAGTAGGAAGACCACCCAGGCCACCTAGGTTAGAGAAGTTTCGGTTACCCGTCACACTGGATGTCTGGCTGCGGTCAATCGAAGGCAGGTCAATCCCCGAACCGACCCGACGGATGGAGCCAAACGGATTCGACGCATCACGAAACCCACCGACACCAGGGTGCTGAGAAGCCTGGATATCAGATCCATCCGTCTCAACATCCTCCACGTCTCCTCGACGATCGCCGTGAGGACTCTGATATGGGTTCGTATTGGTCGGGCTACTCGGTTCGTGGCCTTGCAAAAGACTGGGTGTCGGGTTACGAGAGTTCTCGTGGCTCTGCATCAGTTCTCGGAAACCGGGGATGCTTGAAGTCATTCCGAAAGCCGAAAAGCCCAGCGGATCAGCCTGTGAGGCTGGTTCCAGATCCTGCGATCCACCCAACGCTGCACTTCCACTGCGAGGCTCATCGGAGAACGGGTTCGTCTCGCTTCGGCCGGCGCGAGTTTTGAGAGTCTCCCCCCAAGGCGACTGCGCACCGTTGTCGCCTTCAGTTTCTGGCAGACGTTCCAAGCTGTTGAGTGACGGTTTCTCTCTAACAGATGCACCAATGTCTTCCGAACTGTCCTTGGAGAATAGGCCCTTCAAACGACTTTCACCGCGCATACTACCATATCCTTTCTTTTCGGTGGTGGGGGTCTGAGCTGATTGTGTTGGGCCCAACGAGAAAGCACCAAACGCTCCCATGGGGGAGAAATTGGCACTCTGCGACGCAGACGCCCACGGGGAGCTTGGTCCACTCAGCCCAGCACTCAAAGGATTGGTGGAACTGCGCTTCAGCGAGTTGAAAGGAGAGGCAGACTCGCCTTCCTTGCTGTCCCTTTCATCCAACCTGGAATTGCTTTCTCGAAAATCGGTTTTCCGGCGTAGAAGAGAGGGTGGCGGGGTCGAGGTGTTGGTCTCGTCACGGAAAAAGCGCGAACCACCAGGCGTGGGGGACATTGGATTACCGACAGAATCACCGGTCTCCCTTCGCCTAGGACCTGGCCGAGCAGAACCCGGAGAAGAGGTGTTGAAGTTTTGGGTGTAGGAAACCGACGATTTGCGTCCACCCGTACCGGCAGCCTGGTTATCTTTCTGGGCATTCGACGGCGGAGGCTTCAAGGGAGAATTGACCGACGCGGAGAATAACTACCAATGTCAGCACGATGCTCTCACACTCTAGAGCCAAGTGCGGCTTCTGAAATACAAACCTCTTTCTCCTCATCCGTCATATTCATTAACGCCAACGGTTCGATCTGTCCACCATGATCCCAACATACCTCGGGCCCGCTCGGAGGGTCCTTCTGGTCCTCCCGTTTTCCCCAAACCCCGTTCACACTGGGTGTCTCTACATGGGGATCCCAGTCGGCCACGAAATAGTCTGTCACATTCTTTGCCAAAGAACCAGATTCCCGTTGGGTTTTGTAGAGGTCGAGAAGTTGCTCTTTGGAGTAGCGAGCCTCGCCAGTGGCCGTTCCATTGCGTAGCCCACTGGATTGTGGATTCGACATGTGTGGAGGAATGTAAGCTCCAACAGCTGGGGTCGATGCGGAAGTGGTGGTTTGACTGGTATCCCGGTTATGAGAAGGGTTTGTAGCAACTGAAGGACGGCGGAAAGTTTGTGTTGCTCCATTCATGCGAGTCCGAGACCTATAGAAGAACATAGCATGTAAGTATCAAGCAGAAACAAATTTCCTGAAGAGGACAAGAATATATATATATATATAAGAAAGAAAAAAAAAAGGTTCGGTCAAGACTATGTAACAATGCAACAGAAAATCCGCATAAACCTGCACAGCTCGAAACGGCCAATGCAACACACAAATACAATAAAAGATTATAGCAACCACAAAAGCAGAGCAAGGAAGACATTATAAGGCGTACCATTCACTAGCAGCAGTTCCATCGCCTCGTTTGTTAGGGTCGTGGACGTTGCCAGCAGCGGCGGAAGCAAAACTCGAAGGGAGTGGCGTGGGCATTGTGATAACAAGGGAGCTGGTAAAAATACACAGAAAGCTGCCAGGTCACCGACAAGCTCGTCGTGAAGAATTAAAAGGGAGTGGAGAAAGAATCGAGTTGCGCAAAGCGTGGCGTTGCGTTGGGAGGTTGGTATGGGTTTGGTTGGTGGTGTGGTTATTGGAGGTGGTGGGTGTCAGAGAGGGTTGCGTAGGAGATTTGGATGTGGGAACAACCGACACCGGAAAGATGGGAAAATTACGGCGATGGAAAAAACGCGAATATGGAGTTGAAAGTTGGGTTAAAACAACCAAAACAACGGTCCAGAGGTGACTTATTTCAGCTAATATTCAAAAGAAGCAATACTCATTCGATCAGGAGTAAAAGAAGCGATCGAAGGTTCGTTTCGGGCGACGACTTGAAGCTTGCTCAACGAGAAAATTTGCCGCATTTGGTAGGCGGTGGGGTATGGCAATATTCATACGTTCAGTTACGGTATAATACAGCATCAAAGCACCACTTATGCCCGTTTGCAGCTCGTTATGTTATGGTATTACCGGCCATTGATACGTGATGATACGCTCACGCGCACAATGAATTGATACTTATTCTTCTGGCCATTATGACGGAACTTTATCTGGTAGTGTAACTCGAGAATAGACACCTCAATTTATTGATGAAGCTACAGTCTTTCCTATATGCTCTATTCTGGACAGAGTACTGTGTGGTGTATTTGTATCCCGTTACATACGTGTCGCGTTGGCAGCCGGACAACGAAGACAGAAGAAGCAAAAAGTCTCCGTTTGTGAATAAAACACTGTAATCTGTCTTTCTGTCTTTCTGTCTGTCTTTGTTTCTTCCTTTCCGTTGGCCGTTTTCCTGCATCCAGGCCGGGGACATTATCCAATGACCATATGCCCAGCTAGTTTCCAGGGCACAGGTCTTGCGGCAGTGAAATTGCAAAGACTCAGATAATATGTATCCTCAGTTTCCAGGGCACAAGACAACCATGTCTGGTGTTTTATATGCCCTAGTATCAGAATGAGGTAAAGATAAAGCTCATCACTGTCTTTGCTGAAGATTCGTAGAAGCAGCAAAATTAAACTCGGTTTTATATGGTTGTGGCCCCTGCGTTGCTTAGTCATGAATTTTCTGCTGTTGTAATTGGCCAGTCTATATAGTTCGTTTGGATATTGGTAGACATCCTGTATGTACAAGTCAAAGAGGGCTTTCTGTATGTCTAAGAAATCCGGTTGTATGCGCCTGGAACACTACCTATATTATCTGCCTATTCAGCATTCACCGTACCACAATGATCTAGATATCAGGTCCTGGATACCCCTCCATCATGGCTATATCTACCAGCTCTGTCCTCTCAGCTTATACACGACCAACTCTGTTTTTGTCCCCTTCTTTCACTTCAGACACTGAGAAGCGTTCCGGAAAGCCCACCAAAATGAGACGCGAGAAATCCGTTCCCTATGCCTGGTACTGGGAAGGCAGACCCCTTCGAGGAAACCAAATCAGACCAGTCTATACCGGTCCAGCTTCTTGTTCTTCCAGCACACTTGCTAGCTGTTGTCCCGACTACTCATCAGCAGAAACGGTCCAACCCTGCTCAACATCAACGTCCAAAGCCCATGAATGCCCCAATCATCAACACGTGGAGTCTGACTGCTGTTCCTCCGAGACGTGCTGCGAAAGTGCAGAGGCAGAGACAGACCCTTGTTGCTGCTCCCTGTGCTGCGATAGTGACCACACTACCACCAGTTCAGAAACCTCGACCTGCACCCAGCCGTCAGAGTGTCCTTCATCGTCGTCATCCTCTGCATCAACATGCTCGACAGCAAGCAGCACCCCCTCGACAATCCATTACCACACACATGCGTATTTCCGTTACCCCAATGACAACTGCCCGTCGCAGTCTTCGTACATCTCGAACCTATCTTGCACCTGCACGTCATGCCAGACCTACTACTATCCACTCGCGCCTGGGTCTACACCTGCACCCGCTACTCGTACAACCAAGCACCAGTGCCCCGACTTCCCACCACCTTCTCAAGTCCGACCCAAGATGGGTCGCAAAACGGATACAGACACCTGTTACCAGTACCATCCCAGTAACTACTATCCGCACTACCCGCACTACCCGCGTACGAAGGTTCGTGCACACTTTGAAGAGCCTTGTGAGGATGCTTCCAGCACTGCGACCATTTCATCAGAGTGTATGGATTCTGTACATGGGAATTGTGAGGCGTATGAGTGCTGTGGTTCGGCTTGGCGGTATCGTGATCATCCGGCTTTTCGGAAGAGGTGTTAGTTTTTTTTGTTATGGAATGTGAGAATTTTGATTTGTTTGCTCTGGGTTAAAGTGAAATGTATCAAAGAATGTCAACTTGCAATGATTAAATCGAGTTCTCGTTTTCTTTGGGTATCGTGACAACTGATGGCCTGATTAGAAATGTCTTTGGAATACCGAGGTCGGATAATATTTATATATCCCCGCATTCTCTTCAACGTCTTTCCTTTTTTCTTTTTGCTTGCCCATATCAATCGTTTTTTATATTAGTATATGATATCAGTTATTCTTAATATCTTTCCCATTGCAATTGATCAATTAATACTCTCCATTCTATTTTCCATCGCCGACAAACCCGCACACGTTGACAGTCGGAACTCGGTCTCCATACACAACTTCACACCAAGCCAACCAATTGAGCAGATAAACGAAAGCAAAATGTCCAGAGCAATCTTCCTCTCGACTATTGATGGCAAGCCTGGCAAGCCGGGCCAAGTATACTACCCCCTCTCCCTCCAAAACCTCCCCAAACCAACCCCGCAGGGTCGGGAGGTCCTTGTGAAGATGACCGCCGCATCGCTAAACCATCGCGACGTCTTCCTCCGCCAACATCTCTACCCAGGTATCACCTTCGACGTCCCCTTGGGCGCAGATGGTGTGGGATCCGTGGTCGCGACAGGCCCCGAGGTCTCGAACCCCAGCCAGTGGCAAGGAAAGCGGGTCATTTTGAACCCGGGGACGGGATGGAAGGATTCCCCTGACGGCCCTGAGGATCCGCAGGGATATAAGATTCTAGGAGGGACCAAGTCCTATCGCAACGGGACGATGCAGGATTATGTTGTTATTGAGGAGTCGGAGCTTGAAGAAGCGCCGGAGCATTTGTCAGATGCGGAGGCGGCTGCGCTGCCATTGACGGGTTTGACTGGATGGAGAGCGCTCGTGAACAAGGCTGGGGAGAGGAACTCGGGTAAGGGTGCTGCGCTGTTGATCACTGGAATTGGTGGTGGTGTGGCATTGATGGTGCTCCGTTTTGCCGTGGCCCGTGGTGCCGATGTTTATGTGACAAGCTCGAGCGAGGAGAAGATTCAGAAGGCTGTTGAACTGGGAGCCAAAGCAGGTGTGAGCTATAAGGAAGAGGCATGGGAGAAGAAACTTTTGGGTATGCTTCCTGCTGGCAAGTCTTCTTTCGATGCCATTATCGACGGCGCTGGAGGTGATGCTGTCGAGAAGGGTGCGAAGCTGCTCAAGGTAAGTCAGCGTCAGTATATTTTTGAATATGCGCTGATTATTATCAGGCCGGTGGTGTCATCTCCATCTACGGAATGACAGTCTCTCCCAAGATGCCGTTCTTGATGCAAGCCGTCTTGAAGAACATCGACGTCCGTGGCTCGACGATGGGCTCTCGTAAAGAGTTTACGGAGATGGTTGAGTTTGTCAAAGCAAACAAGATCTATCCCGTAGTTTCTCGTGTGCAGCAAAGTGAGCTGGATGATATCGCAGCTCTTGAATCGTTGTTCGAGGATATGAAACAGGGCAAGCAATTTGGAAAGTTGGTGGTTGTGTTTGGAAAGTCTGGTTCTGACAGTAAGCTGTAATGTTTTGCTAGTATTAGCTGGTTATCTAGAGCATTGGATCTCAACAGAATTTACATTTCTGGGGTAAGGGCTAATTGGAGAGCTGGGTGGTCGCTCCTTCCTTCTATCGGTGTTATCCAGGGTATCATTCCCTTGCCATGACTGTACGCAATGATCCTTCCTGCAATCCATCATCGTTTCTTCATAGCATTGCAGTTTTATTCCACAAGTAATTATTGAATAGTCTAGTCGATTGCCACACCTAACCAACATTGTATCCACCATCACGATGGTGGCCGACATCGTCGAACTGTACGGGCCAGGCATGTCCTTCTACCTCTCGAAGACCGAAGGAAGCATCACGAATGCAGGGGATGACAAGGAGTCGTCAGTCGAGGTATGCTGACGCCCGTGTCCAAGATCTGAGAGCGACCAAGCAAAGCGACCGGCTACTAACGTCGCTCAGAAATACTCCGCAGCTCTACGGGCACTCTACAGCAGCAACCAGATCCTCGAGAAGAAGATGTCCAAGTTACGCGCGAGCACGATCCGTCTTAACCTTGATCTCATGAAGCTCCAACGACACATGGGCACCATGCAGCACGACTTCCTTACGACCTGGCAGGCGGATATCCTCACCCTCCTCATCGAAGTTGTGTACGCGCGGCTGCATCGAATACTACCGGGAGGGTATGCGGTGGAGGAGATCGAATCGTTGGATTATGAGACGTTGACGAGGGTGTATAGGACTGCGGCGAAGAGGATTCACAGGGAGAGGCTGCGGAGGAAATTTGGACTGTCAGCGAGATACCACGGTGCGTTGCAGAAGTACTGGGAGGTAAGCATATCACTTATCATCACTTTCTTATCACGTTTCATTAAGCTGACAACACTGGCAAAGGTTGTCGAGTTTAGAAGCGAGGATCCCTTTCAGACGGAGTGTGTGTTTGCTCGGTGGTTGGTCGCGGAGAAGGAGGAGAATCCTGGTGCGTACGAGTTTTGGGGACAGTTGTTTCCATTGTGCTACAGGCGGACGGTTGAGGAAAGTGCTGAAATCTTTTGATGTCTCATTTTTGTCTCATTCTATCACTTGTCACTCGCTCTGTCTTTGGCTATGGAGTATTTGCACTATTTGCATATGGTGAATGAGTCTGTTCCGTTCTTTCTGAAGATCCTGCCATCTGGCAAGTGCACTCCGTGTTGCACTTCTCTAGGAGTGACCGATAGCCAATACTAATTATGGAGAGTTGCTAATAATTGAGACGGTCTTACAGATTCTAGATACTAAAAGATGACCGTTGATGCTATACAAAACGTTGTACATCGGTGAACCCCTAATCGTCACAATTACCCATTCAGGTATTAACCCTGGATTCAGTTCAGCTAGCCATGAGCCCTCCGCACGGGCACATAACAGGGCAAGAGGGCTCCATAATACTCTCCCGTACAAGGGGTACAGGGGGACCGTAAGTACGAAATACCCGGACGGTTACTACATCGGTGCAAGTGCGTAGAATTTCGGCGGTCCCGGGCGACAAACAGGCAGCCCCCTTACCCTACAAGGCATGAGCATGGCATATAGCTTGCACTAACTAGGTAGTAGTGGTATCTATGTGAGATGACTGGCTACGTTTCTGACCGGCACGTTGTGACGGGACTCTGGCCTTTAGGGCAGAGCTCCGCCACGCGCTTGTTGACCAATGATGTCATGTTATGGTTCCACTCTGGGGCTTAGCTTAGCTATCATTAGCTACATAACTATGTAAAGAGTTTGTTTGTTTGGGGTAGGGTGCTACTGTTCTGGGTGTTGATAGGCATTTTATATTGATTTAATTGTTAATTGATGTTGAGGGTAGTGTTGGTGGTCTTGAGTTCAGGGCAGGTAAGTGATTAGGGGACTTAGTGAAAGTGGGTAATTGCACGTCACGAGGTTCTTCTGAGCTTCTATGATTTTCTAGGCGAGCAGACCCTCTCTTCAAAAATTAGGACGGTCTTAATATCAATGTCGAACTGGAGTCGGCGGTTAGGGTTCGGTACCGAACCGGGTCGTGCACGGCTTGCTTAGCCACACCGGTAGGCTGTACAGCACGCTCCCACTGCACTTTGCCAGAAGAATTCATTGTCCGAATAGAAAGTCGGGATTCAGATACCATTTTCAAGGAACTTCCTATAATATCAATTTTCTATGTCTTGTGTTCTATTTTCTATTCTTTTTTTTTTTTTTTTTTTTTTTTTTGTTCTGTGATGTACTCCCGAGAGTAAGGCTGAATGTACGGAGTACTCCGTGTGGTGTGTGCTCTACTATGGACGAGTAAGGGTATGATATGTCAATGCCAAGCTATCATATGTGTTAGCACGAGCTGAAGAAATAAAATTGCAGTAGTCTAACGTTTTTTTTTTTTTTTTCTTTGACAGGACATAGATCAGAAAGACGTTATTTTAGACGTTATTTCACTTATCCATCTGACCATGGCGAGCTGAGTGTGGGAACGCTAACAATCCTTATGGGTAGTTTATTTTATATTTTATTCTACTAGTAGAAGGATTTGCATGGAGAAAAGTACGGAGTACGGGGCGCCTTCTGATTTGGATTAAGCTTAGGCATGAATTTGGAATAAATGTACACTGGTATACGGCGTACTCCGGTAGTCTCGCTACGTATTTAAAGAGCTGATTAACAGCTGGTCCAATCGACTACACCACAGTACCATGTGGTCTGTAATGGAATATGGGCGATTGGAATTGAGTTTCTCATTCCATTTACCTAAAGTAGAATATCCCCAGTCTTGTTCCCTTAGCCTCCACCACACCGCACCAAAACACGCCAACCATCAGCCATAACTCCAAACCTAAACCAACAAAAGGAAAGAACCAACGACAGTTGCCCGTTATACAGAAAACCAAAAAAAAAAAAATAAATAAATAAATAAATAAATAAATAAATAAATAAAAATAAAAACATGACAATTACCGAAAGAACCAACCTTGGTTTTGAGCATATCATTAACCGACCATAACATCTCCCCTACTACCAGAGTAGGCTTCTGGCTTGTGGCTTGTTTCATCCCACCACAATGCAAGGACCAAGCAGCGTCCTACAGATTGCGTAGTGCAGTACTCCGTAGGACTATTAGGGAACTCTGCTTATGGACTTGCGCACTGTAAGGTGGGCGCCAGACCAGTGCTGCGATGGTCTGGTAGATCAATGGTGAGGGGAGGGTGGTGATTTGGGGGAGGTGAAACATGTGCGGTTCGCTGGAAGATTGACTCGCTTATTTAAGTTTATTTTCCTTAGTATTTTGTACGCACTTTGCTCTTGCTGGTACATTATGCAAAGTATTTTATTGAATATCTGTAGCTTTGTGCGTTTCTTAGTTCCGAGCTGTAAGGAGGACTATGTCGTGCACTGGCGGTGGTTGACGATTCTGCACTGCAGTTCTTCGTCCCTTGCGAAATCGGGTATGAAAATGAAACCACAGAATAATGGTAACTATTGACGTCAATGGAGCCGACACTATCAATGGTGTTAAGAAGTAGACTCTGTTATCGCGGTGAACCGTTTCTCATTTGGGTTCCCGGGCTGGTTTGCTCGTTTATTTCTCACAGGTTATCTTAATACACATGTGCTATGGACGGCATTTACCCGAATGCTGAGGTTAAATAAAGTACATGCAGAACGAGCACCGAAAAGTCGAAATTTGTTGTTGTTGTTGTTGTTGTTGTTGTTGTTGTTTTTTTTTTTTTTTTTTTTTACTCTTCTTCCCTCTTTTGGTGGATTGAGGTTGTGATCTGTGACAGAAAAGACCGCATGGGGAAAACCGAACGGGCGAACCAAAGTTTGATGCATAAAGGGTCCCGGAATTTTGTCAGAATTTTAGAAAAACGGTACCCGTAGGGAGAGGGGGGAGGGCGGAGGGCAATGGATGTGTTAGGAATAGATGAGCATGGAGATTATCTAGATAAAATAGGACAAGAGAGTATATCCGCACTTTGTACGAGTCATGTTCTCACATATCTGGTATTTCGTATCCGCCGCTTCATGTTATGGAGTATATCTTGATTAATCTAGCGTCCATGATGAGGATTTTACTCCGTAGTTTACCGATAATATTCCCAGCTCTTTGGTTGAAACCGCGGAATGGCACAACGGTGCTGGAGTAGCTTGTCGTCAAAGTCAGGATGTTCGACTCTTTTTGAGGGAAACGGTGGTATCTTGTTGTATTTGACACCAGAGGGCGTGGCGGCTTGCCGGAAATACTACTGCCCCTGGTGATTATTGAAAAGAGAAAATATCTAGATAAAACAGTGTATTCTGTACAGAATGGGCAGAAGAATAGCAGTGAAGTGACATGACAATCTCATCATGTAGACAGAAAGCGGTAAAATACTGCCACCTTACAGAGCTCCCACAAAATCGCACAATGATGCTGATCCCGATCAATGATGATCCCCGGCCCACTACACTGATAATCCTATGCTCAGCCTAACATCAAATGCGATGCGGACCTATTATGCGGATATTGTACAGATTACCCTGCCGATTATTATTCCGAACCAGCCCTGTACCGAGTCAAACCTCATCTCACCTCGACACGAGCCTGACAGCCACCGTCATATTACATGCCTTTTTCTTACTCAAACTGCCTCTCTGATTTGTAACTTATTTGTGTGACCCAAGAAAACAAAAGCGGACACTCCATTTCGTATAAATAGCATATTTCGAACTCCAAACAATCTTCCGGAGACAGACAAGGTTGTGATTGGTTGGAGGGAGGCTGGTACATACGGAGGATTCTTCTTCTTCAGCTATGCCCGATTAGGTTTAGTACCATGAAGTGGAGAGGAGAGAAATAATCCACTCAGTCATCTTGTCAGCCAATGATAGTGCGTAGCCCTTGCATTGGTCCGTGAGAGCAGCACCGAATCGATTGCTGGAAGGGGTAATCAGGGTAGGCCGGAGTCAGGCAGACTACTGACGGTTGCTATGTTTAACTGTTTCCTGAGATCACCCGCTTATCACAGATCGGTGATATAATTGGTTCCGGACTTGAGAAAACATTACGGAGTGGTGTAGAAGAATATGGCAAGATACGGGTGATGTTATCGCTGATGACTCGTGTAAAGTACCGAATGTACAATAGAGTACTCCGTACCTGTACATAGAAGTACTCTGTTAAGTGGACTGCATGCAGCACCAGGACAGTCGAACACCTCGATTGGAAAATGCCATGACTTCAGTCCGACAGCACAGCATGGGACGTGGTGGACCTCTCCACGGAGCTTGAAGGTACTCCGTACATAATACCTCGGTTCCAAGCACCCTACTGAGAGTCCTCCGTGTATATTCCAAAGCAGACACCTCCCACTCCACGAGACCGAGTGGGACGACAAACCAGGGTGCACCGGACCGGGGGTTTTGAATCTAGCGCGGGTGGGATGCTGATTGGTTTTCGGAGACTGGAGGTCATGTGGGCCTGACAAAAAATAAAAACAGAGAGAGAAAACAGAGGCAGTGCAGCAACATATTTTTCTCTTTTGATGCCATCTCCGACGCTAAGCCTGATACCGGTCGGACTTTTGCCCGATTTCCGGTATTTTTTTTATCGTATTGTAATACACCCACCCCTCGGTTTTCTTTTTCATCCCAGCGTGTCATCCCATGCTGATGAACTAATAAGAGGGAGAATAATGCAGATTATGATGGTAATATTGTTCACAATAATTACAATCGGCAGGGGAGAAAGAAAAATAAAGACAAGGGAAGAATACAAGGCTGGTGTCGAATGACGCTGGTATTGATGCTGGTATTGCTGGGTGCTGGATAACGGCTCCTCAATTTCTAAAAAAGGAATACATACATACTAGCACCCCAAAGGTGAACTCAAGCTAAAAAGTCCTTGACTCGTTCTGGCTACTCCAATCACAGCCTCCCATTCTTTGCTCGTACAAAATAAAAATAACCTGAACCTGTAAAAAAAAAAGAAGGTATGCACAGGCGCTTCGTACTAGAAAAAGGACCCCCATTTGATCCGACTAGTCCCTGGTCCCTACTGTTACTACTGGTACTAAGAATTGTAGTAAGACTACAAGGTGCTTATAGTATAATAAATACATGTCCTCCATCTTGAGAGCACATCCCCCGCCACTCCACTCAGTCCCAGCTTCTTTTCTTCTTCGGTCTTCTACTACTTCTATTTCTTCTAATTCTACTTCTTGTGTCTTACTCCCATCACTTCCAGGGTGTCGGTTTACTCTTCCTCTTTCTCTCTCCTCTTTCTCTTTCTACTCCCTACCTCATTTTCTTCCCATCGCCTGTGATGACGCTGTGAACGTCTCATTGCTTTCGTTTTCTCCCTTTCGCCTATTTTGCTAGCCTACACTCGCTTGTTGCTATCGTCGCTGATTATCCATTACACTCGCTACGTTGGATTGTTGGAAGCAAGAACCAAGAGACACTCAGTGGAGGAAAACCGAAAAGAGTATCACGAAAAAAACGCTGAAACGAAGTCCGACGACAAATAAAACGAACACGAAAACAAAAAGGAATAGAAGGAGGTTATATAAAAAACAATTTCCGAAACGCTGTCTTGGTATACTTGCTGTGGTATACCCTTCTTGATAATACCTAATCCCATCGGATGCTCCCACACTGCCGTCGTTGATCACTGGGGAAAAAAAAAAGAAAGAAAAAGAAAAGGAAATTCAAGAAGAATTTCCCGTTTTCCTATCCGTTTCGACCAACAAGAAATAATTGAATAAAAGAGAAGGTGAAACGAAATCGACTTGGACTCCTGACCGCGGCGTTTGTTGCCCTCATAACCCTCTCCGCAGAGCCGTTTGCCCACTCAGTCGGAAGGTGTAACTGGCAGATCTTTCCCCTCATCAACCTCATCATCAAGCTGAATCTCTGGCGGATATCCCATTCGAAAAAGATTAGCATCTAGGATCATCCCCTGCGACAGGAGATCATTGATCTGAGTCTCTGTCTCGGTTCAAAGCAACATCTTCCGAGAAACCCAATTCGACCAGAATCCCTTCGTCTACCTGCCCAAAAGGTTAGTGCTAATTTCCCTTTCCCTCACTTTGACACGGGTTACTCTTGTTCCTCTGGTTCTCTCGTCTTTCCGGTTTCTGGTGGTTGGTACTGGTGCCTTGCATCGACATCTCCCCTTTCATCTCCTACGGGCTCCTTGCTTCCCCCAGAAGGAAGAGGTCGTGCCCATCGGGGTCCAAATTGTCGGGGAGGCGTGCGATTGGAGATTCATGATCGCTGCCCATGAGCTTGTTGTCCCGGTGGCGTTTCTTTTTTTATTTCTTTTTTTTTTTTTTTCATATTTCGTCTCCCGCGTCCTGGGTGTTTGTTGTTGACATTGTCATTTCCCATAGGGCCTGTGCGAACCGTGGATTTTACATATTAGATTGGAAAAGGGTCTCAGCAGCTCTGAGTCTAGTCCCTCGTCTTATCTCTCCTCTCACTCTTTGTTCATTCGGTAAGTCCCGTGAAAGTCCTATGCAATAAGCCGGTCTTTCCTCCGTCCACAATTCTCATTAGCTGTATCTTAGTTGGCGACTTGTCCCTCTTCGCTTTTAACCAACGTTCTCTCCCGTCTTGAAGTACTCTGAGACTCGTTTCGTTCAAAACCATCAGAAAATCTGGAAGTGAAAGAAAGAGGAAGACACCGAAACATCTCCGGATCAAGTTCCTGGACACCAATATAAAGCGTTCTTTGGTCCAGATCGCGAGATATCGTCAAACTACTATTCATCTTGAGTCCATTGACCACCGGTGGCTAGTATTGGATCCTGCTACACCCCCTATTCTGCAGCCATCCTATATTGGTTTCAGCTTGGGTCGTTGATTCGAAGCGATCTTTCGTGACGTCTCTTCTTTTGTTGAGACCAACAACCCGCTTCATCTCGTCGCTCGTTCTGTCTCGGAGAGCTCCCTGGTGACTTTCCGGCCCTACTGTCGTTTCCCAGAATAAATTCCCAGTCATTCGCTTCGTTAGAGAAATCCTGTCTCGTTGCAGTGCATCATCACTGCAACACCCTTCAAGCTGGCTTACTCGAAGGATCACGGTGTTTTGGTAAGTCCCAACCACCCGTCAATCGCTTGTTTCGTTTTCTGTCTCTCTATCCCCTCCCCTTCTCACCCCATCTGTGTCTTCCTACTTGTTTTGACCTTGCATGTATCCTCACCTGAGGGTTCTCATCACTGACACATGGCATATGACAGTTCGATCCCAACTTCCAAACTCCCTTAATTCTCGACGATTCGTTCGAGCTTTCAGATACTGAAGAGACACGGTTCGCTGGTGCATTTTCAGACGGCCTATTGGCCAAGTCTGAGCCAATCCTGTCTATGTCTGCCTTTCAGAAACCCCCGCAGATGGCCCTGCTAGGTATGTACTCCTGGCCCTCGCGGGAAAAGGGCATCTGCCCTGCTCAGGAATGTGGAACTAAGCCTTAATATTTGTTGATAGACTATAGTGCGACACGATCTGTTCATGAAGATGCCGCTGCTTATCCCTCGTATGGTCAGGCCTCGTATGTGAACACCCCGCTTGTCCCTTCCCCCATGGGAGATCAGGCAAGCCAGGTGTCTGACTGCGTGCCATACCTGGCTAGCGGGGACTATGCCAGTTCTTACGGCGATGCCAGCTCTCCCATGCTTGGTGGCGATGGTAGCACCCCTATGCCGGAGGTCGTTTCATACACCCCTCAGCGAGGCTGTGAAGATACCACTGTCTTCGTACAGATCCAGTCCCCTTACGACCTTCATTCCTCGACAGTCCCAATAACTTTGTTGTTTGGTTCTAAGAGATGCGAGTGTATCCCCCACCTTCTCGGCACCCAAGGCTCGTTGTTCCAGTATGCCATCTCCGCTCAAGCTCCGCCCTTCATTTCTACCGGATGTCCTTCGTTCGCGGTACCATTGCAAGTGGTCATCGATGGCCAACCCTCGACCACGCTCCAAGTCGGCGTATATACATACGAACAAGTTTCTCAATCCTCGCCATCGGATGCATCGCAGAAGAAGCGAAGGATCTCTTCCTTCGAAGATGAAGACATTTCCCAGCCTATCAAGCGCCTCGCAGGACATCCGATTGCCGCCCGAGACTCACAGCAAGACGTATACCCGTATCATGAAAGTCGATCAGCATCATTCTCGCCCTATCTACAGAGCATTCCCGCTGTGAACGGCTTTGCGGCGCCTTACCGCCCCGCTTCCTCGCCCAGAGTGAACTCTCTTCAATATTCCAACGTGTCGGCGACACCACAGTCCGGCTTTCGAGCTCCTTCGCCATTGATGTCTTCCTGGAGTCCCTCCCTCATGTCAATGTCTAGTGACATTCGGAACCCCGCCCTCGCTGCCAGCCACAGCCTACGTCCGCCTCAGACACATTCTCCTTCGACAGGGGCAACCCCCACGTTGATTCGAACCTCAACTTTGCACCAATCTAGTGGCTTTGGGCAAACGCAGTCCTTCAACCCCTACGCGATGTATCCGACCAAGGCAGTTCTGAAGCTGAATGGTGACCTTGACACAATGGCGGATAACTGGACCCGAGATGAACATGATGCGAAGAGACGCCTTGTTCAGTTCACCCGTGTCCAGAGTGGTAGCACCATCCACGCTGACTTTTCCCCAGTCGCCCCGGAGAAACGGGCGCCCAACAGTATCTGCATCAGCTGCATATACTGGGAAGGCAAGGATGAGTGTTTTGTGACCAGCGTCGACACCATCTACCTGCTCGAGTCGCTGGTCGGGGTGCGGTTTACCGTGGAGGAGAAGAATCGGATTAGAAGAAATCTGGAGGGATTCCGACCTCTTACAGTTTCAAAGGCCAAGGCAGACAGTGAAGAATTCTTCAAAGTAATTATGGGCTTCCCAGCACCGAAACCTCGCAACATAGAGAAAGATGTCAAAGTGTTCCCATGGAAGATCCTTGGCCATGCCCTGAAAAAGATCATTGGGAAATACGTGAGTTCTATCACCAAAATCTACTTGAATCCAGTAACTGACTTATCTCGACAGTCTGCCAGCTACTCGTCGACTGCTGCAGCTTTGCCAACCTCGATGATGTCAAACTATGGCCCTGGTTCCGACTCAGGAACAGATCCCCAAAACGCGGGGTCTCCCCAGTCCGTCTCAGACACAGCACCCTCTTATGGCCCTACCATGGTTACGTCAGCCTATTCCTCTCCGGCAAACATCCCCATGACGCCTATGACAGGGAATTCCGACTACCGGGCCGTCCTTCCAGCTGCTAGCCAACCCTTCAACTCGATGCCGGCTCCATACACGTACCCTCCTGCTGCCTGTCAGCAGACTCAATACGCGCTTCCTGCGCCTATCAACCGGAATCCCTCGTGGGATTACAACGGTTTCGTCAACAACCCGGCCCCAGTGAGTGCGTCTTCGAGCAATACTTGCTATAATTATATGGCTCCGATGTCGTATCCCTTGACTGATACGTCAAATGGAGCGTGATCGTTTTGACCTTTTCCCCTTTGTTTTTCTTGTTTGATTGTATTGACTTCGCACATTACATTGGTTGGCGTTCTTTGATAACCTTTTTTGTACTTTTGCCTGGGCTGATCGTGCTCTCTTACTTGACTGACCTGGTTATAATTCCGTTTTGCTGGACATTCTTCGAACATGAGCAATGGCGCTGGACCATACGCTAATAATATGTCCTCTGGAACTTTGGTGGCGCTCCGTTTACATCTTGGCGCAATGATTTCACGCCCTTTTACTTTTCTCTTATTGCATTCCTATATCTTGCATTTATATTTTGTCTCAATGCCCCCTATTTTTGCATTTTATGCTTCTTTGACGACGTTCGTTCATCATTCATTTGATCTGTTGCATACATTTCTTTCCTTTGGGGCATTTGGATTCCACTCTTTACTGGACACTGTACGATATTTCGCATGAGCATGGCGCTGCAGTCCTTCCTTTTCCTTTGTTTCGCAGGTCAAACAGGTTCACATTGTGGGATAGACACGGAATACTTTGGTGGACGAAAAACAGAAGGATGTACTTTGAACATTTATCTTTCTTCTGTGGTTCTCCTTGACATACTATGCGAGACAGTCTACTGACTGCTACATACATGTGCATAGCTTTTTGGCGTTGTGTGGATTGATTCCCTTTTCCTCTTTTTCGATTCTTTTCTTTGTCTTTTTTTAATGAGATGTTTGCCTTGTGGCTGTAATCAATGGAAATTAGTGTTTATTAAGAATTATTAATAATCATTGGCGCATAATTCTCTATGCTGGTTTCCTTGTGCATTCGCTGAGAGAGATGCCCTAACTACGGTGGCCCTCCGCAATTGGCCTTATCTTATCACCACATCACCTGACCGGCCCGTGTGTGACTCAGGCACTGGTTTGATAGCTTCCATTCTTTCGCTCCTCTTCCTGTCACACCAAGTTTCTTTCTTTTCTACATCAATCACCCTCTCTTCCTTTTCAATCTCCTTCTATTCTTCGCATTCAGTGCATTCACCTATCTTTTTCTCGAATTGACAACCGCCTCTAGTTTCCTCTCCCCGATCTGCCCCGCCATTTGATCGCTCTCCCCGCCATGGATCACATCAAGGCGACCTTTGCCAAGTGCAAGGAAGAGAAGCGTGCTGCGCTCGTTTCATACATCACTGCTGGTTATCCTACCATAGAGGAGACGGTGGACATCCTGCTTGGATTGGAGAGCGGTGGTGCTGGTATGTCAATATTTTCCTTCCCCGCAGCTTTTTTTTTTTTTTTTTTGCCTCCGCAAAGCCCGTTCATAATTTCTTTGATTTGCTAACGCGGTCTCCAATTCAATCAGATATCATTGAACTGGGCGTTCCCTTCACTGATCCTATTGCCGATGGACCGACTATTCAGACAGCCAACACCAAGGCCCTGCAAAATGGTGTGACTGTCACCACGGTTCTCGATATCGTTCGCACGGTGCGCAGCAAGGGCCTGCAGACCCCCTTGCTTCTCATGGGATACTACAACCCGATGATGCGGTATGGTGAGGAGCGTATGCTCAAGGATTGCAAAGAGGCTGGTGTCAATGGCTTTATTATGGTTGATCTTCCTCCTGAGGAGGCCGTGCGGTTCAGGAATATCTGTACCAGTTATGGGTGAGTCAATTTCTCCTTGGATTGGCTGGCCTTTTTGCTTACTTTGGCAAGTCTGTCCTACGTCCCGCTCATCGCCCCCTCGACCTCCGAGTCTCGAATGAAGTTGTTGTGTAACATTGCCGACTCATTCATCTACGTGGTGTCGCGTATGGGTGTCACTGGCGCCACTGGTCAGCTCAGCTCCAATCTCGACGAACTTTTGGCTCGCGTTCACAATTGGTCCGGCAATGTGCCTGCTGCATTGGGATTCGGTGTCAGCACTCGGGAGCACTTTCTGGCCGTGCAGGACCTCACGGAAGGTGTCGTTATTGGCAGTCAGATTATCTCCATCTTGGGCCAGGCCCCTGCAGGCCAAGCCGCTAAGAATGCACAAGAGTACCTCTCCAGCATCACTGGCCGTAAGTTGGAGCGCGATGCCTCGGGCGCCGTGGTGAACGTGGTCAATGTGCTCGAGAAGGTGGAAAAGAAGCCTCAGGCTATCTCGCAGCCGTCGGAAGTCGTCACTGACGCTGATACTCCTGCCGGTCCTGGTTTGGCTGATCAGTTGGCCGCCCTCAATGGCACTGGCAACCCTGCTGAGCAGCCTTCGCGCTTTGGTGAGTTTGGTGGCCAGTACGTGCCTGAGTCTCTGATGGACTGTATGGCCGAATTGGAGCAGGGTTTCAGCGATGCCCTGAACGACCCATCGTTCTGGGAGGAATACCGCTCCTACTACCCTTACATGGGCCGGCCCAGCAGCCTCCATATCGCCCCTCGTCTTACGGAGGCTTGCGATGGTGCTACCATCTGGCTCAAGCGCGAGGACCTTAACCACACTGGTAGCCACAAGATCAACAATGCATTGGGTCAGATACTCCTTGCCCGCAGACTAGGTAAGACCAGAATTATTGCTGAAACCGGTGCTGGTCAGCACGGTGTTGCTACTGCGACTGTCTGCGCCAAGTTTGGAATGGCATGCACCGTCTACATGGGTGCTGAAGATGTCCGCCGCCAGGCTCTGAACGTGTTCCGAATGAAGCTCTTGGGTGCCTCTGTCGTTGCTGTTGAAGCTGGTAGCCGTACCCTACGTGATGCGGTCAATGAGGCGCTCCGTGCGTGGGTTGTCGACTTGGACACCACTCACTACATCATTGGTTCTGCTATCGGGCCTCACCCGTTCCCGACCATTGTTCGTACCTTCCAGTCGGTTATTGGTGACGAGACCAAGCAGCAATTGCAGCAGCAGATTGGCAAGCTGCCCGACGCCGTTGTTGCCTGTGTTGGTGGTGGTAGTAACGCTGTTGGTATGTTCTACCCGTTCTCTAAGGACCCTAGCGTCAAGCTGCTGGGAGTTGAGGCCGGTGGAGACGGCGTCGAGACTGCTAGACACTCTGCAACCCTTTCCGGTGGTAGCAAGGGTGTTCTGCACGGTGTCCGCACCTACGTCCTGCAGGACGAGCACGGCCAGATTTCCGAGACTCACTCCATCTCCGCTGGTCTGGACTACCCTGGTGTCGGTCCAGAACTGAGCTCCTGGAAGGACAGTGAGCGTGCCAAGTTCATTGCCGCCACCGATGCCGAGGCCATGAGTGGTTTCCGTGCTCTTGCTGTGCACGAGGGTATCATCCCGGCTCTTGAGTCGTCGCACGCTGTATTTGGCGCCATGGAACTCGCAAAGACCATGAAGAAGGGCGAGAACATCGTTCTCAACCTGAGTGGTAGAGGTGACAAAGACGTGCAGAGCGTTGCCGATGAACTCCCCAGATTGGGACCGAAGATCGGCTGGGATCTGCGGTTCTAGATCTGCACTCCGCTTGGCCCCAGGGCTTGTTTTTAGTTGTTTCTACGCGATGTTTATGCATGGTGCTATGGATTTCTTTTTCGGGGTTATGTCTAATGCGACATTGAAAAGTCTTTTTTGGATGGACCTGCCTATATTGGACGACAGTCATGGATAATCCTACGTCTATTTTATTTTGGGTATTTTTTTCGGGATTACCTTAGAAGATATTATGAGCCACATGTGAACGAAATTCAGTGAATGGGGAAAGACTTGTAAATTGCAAGATAATTTGCTCTTGTTTTTCGTAGAGGATCTTCCCATCTTGTCCTTCGCCAAATCATCGCGAACATCAACCCGAACATCAACCAGAAATGCGCTCACCAGGCGAATAGAAGCCATTACTGCAATATCACTTTTGATGTACGCTGTCAAATAATTCACGCAAAACTGGCACTCAAATACTTACTAGTCAATTGCCTACGATAACTATACAGAATCTCTATCGAACTAGCGATGCCAAGCTACCACCGATTTTTTTCTGTTTTCCGACACCAACCAATATTGTCTGTCTCGATGCTATAGATCGATTATCTTATGTAAAGGCAGCCTAGTGGTCATTGCACAAGCCGCTGGGCTCAAGATGGAACAGATCCTATAATGTCTGTTCTTGTCCTGCGTTGGCCAACGACCACTAAGCTGTCCCTGTATCAGAAAGTCGATCAATTAGCATTGACACAGATTTTGCAACGGCTAATCTATGAAAGCTTCTATTAATACAAATCAAAGACAGTGGAGCTAGGACTACAAGATTAAGTCTCTGTCTGTGCTGTTACTGACGCTTTTCATTGCGCTTGTTGGGGTTCTCGTTATTTTATATTCTCTTCTTGGGACTTGTGACAGTTCGCTAGCAGACTAGTCTTTGCATTTATGCACCTATTTATCTAGTGTATCTTAGCAGAGCATCCACTACACCTACTTTTCAAGGCAGTACACTCATAATGAGTAAATGAGAGGAAAACTTCAATGTGTGGTAAAACACATTCGAACTCGTCCAACAGGATCAATTCGGATAGGGAGTAAATTCAAGTATAACAGCAGCCCTCAGCTGGAATCCAATCACCAGTCAGTACGAAATATTAATGCTTATAAGCTTTCATCCCAATTCTCTCTCTTTCACAAACATCTTGCAAACGCTTTTCATTATTCGTGAGGCTCTCAGGGTCATCGGAATCGCCAAGCTTAAAAATCGCATAAGGAATAACCGGATGCAAATGTTTCAGAGGAATGGCGTCGCAGATTTCCAATCCCCGTTGGTGGGAAATTTATGCACGCAGTCCAGGATAAAGAGCCTGTCCTTATATCACAATCCTGCAGTTGGCATGGGTCGTTCCTCAAGCACAACTTGCGCAGCGTCCCAGGTAAAGAGGCACCCAGATTTGAGTCAGCTGCAGCTGCAGTTGCAGTACCGAAGATGACATAGGCTAGTATTTCAAAGGTTTGGAGTTTGGTGGGCCTTTTCAGAATTCCGCAAAAAGGGTCAATATTATCTGCATTTCAGACACCTCAAAATACTCGCCAACTTAATCATAAGATCTACGATCTACAGAAAAGTCTTAATAATAAAAGACAGCTGTCGAGCAGCCCTGTATCTCACCTTCAACATCATCGAGTGAAGCAAAGAGTCAGTCAGCGCCCAAAAGGGAAAATCACGGCCCAGACTTTTTCTCAACTATTCAACTATCACTAACCTTAGTTAACTACCATTAACCATCTACCACTTCCATCTACACTTCGCTATACCATTGTCTAGTGTCACCTCATTTGTACCAGGTTGCACCGGTACAGCCACCGGCCTCAATGCCAATGTCCAGAGAGATAATATAGTCAATATTACTGCGTTGTGGTTGATAAACATGCCAATAAAGTAGATGGTAGATGGATGGGTGGCCCGTAAGAACTAGATAATGTGTGTCGAAACGCCGGAGAGGGGAGACAAAGCCAGGCGATGAATTGATTTTTGTCGTAACTCCAGTTACCTAGTCTGCGACTGGACTGGGGAATTTGCTGGAAGACGCGGGAATTTGCATGGGATGTTGAAGTATGCGCCGTCATCGGACAGGGGGCTGCCGCCGAAAGTCTTGCCTTAGACTGGTTGAATATGCCTTAGACTGGTTGAATACAGCGGGAATGTGCGCCAACCTACCGGATATTACGCTGAGCTCAGAATTTCGGAGATACAAATTGTTGTTCTTTTTGATCCTGATTCCCGATCAAGCTGACACTCATGTTGCTCTACCTCGCACATGGACCAAGTTGTGTCTGAGGGATGACCTGTGTGAACCACACGGCTTGAGAAATGGACCTATATTCGCATTACAAGCTGCACGCATGCTTTTGTCACTACATATTGAGGATCTTCATCCCCTTCGCTGGATATATCTGCTTCCGGCTATGGTGTTGGGATGATGATAACGAGTATGAAGATTATGAACCTGACACTTGTGAGCACCGAGACAATAGTTGGGAACGATTGAAATCTGTGTGCGAAAGGAATGGCATTTAACTGGAGAGTCTTAATCAAAGATACCCAATTTCAACCAGTTCGTGGATTCCGAAAACCAGCTGGCATGCGCACACCCTCGGCTCTTTTCCGATTATGTTCTTAAAGCCTTGTCGTCTTCTGTTCTTTTCCCGAGGTCGCCCAAATTGGTTGGCCTTTTTTCTGTTATTATTCGCTGCCCAGGTGTACTGTGATCTTCTCTTCAGTTAATGAAATTCATTGCTATCTAATAGACGATTGGGCTTTGGATAAAGGCGACGATTGCTTAGCCACAGCATG